GCTCATACCACCCTACTCATATAACCTGCGCATCACCCCGCCCAAAAGAGAGATCCCTTCTTCCCGTCCCCAGGCCTAAAATGATTTCCCCCCCCCCCCCCCCCCCCCCTTCAACCTTGTTGTTACTTGACACAGCTTGCTCCCTCTCCCGTGTCTTGCGGAGGGGATGGATTGTGGGCTTGAGGAAACTATGGCTGCTTTTCAATTTTAGGTGGGCGAGAGGATCTGGTTCTACAATGCTGACTGAGAAACCTTGACTGTAGATCCGGTATGTGCAAGGCCGGTTTCGCTGGCGATGATGCTCCGCGAGCTGTCTTCCGTAAGTCTTTTCCACCCAAGTCCTTACCCTAGGGCTTTGTTGCGCTTGGAATTATTCCCTTGCTGACACTTAATAGCTTCGATTGTCGGCCGTCCTCGCCATCATGGGTAATATTATTCCCCCCCGCGGATCCTACCAATTCCTGTGAAAGCGAATGAAATATGAGAACAAAGGAAACTAATCCCCGTCGCAGTATTATGATTGGTATGGGCCAGAAGGACTCCTACGTTGGTGATGAAGCACAATCCAAGCGTGGTATCCTTACCCTTAGATACCCCATTGAGCACGGTGTCGTCACGAACTGGGATGATATGGAAAAGATCTGGCATCACACCTTCTACAACGAACTCCGTGTCGCTCCTGAGGAACACCCTGTTCTGTTGACCGAGGCTCCTATCAATCCCAAATCGAACCGTGAGAAGATGACCCAGATCGTCTTCGAAACTTTCAACGCCCCTGCCTTCTACGTCTCCATCCAGGCCGTCCTTTCTCTTTACGCCTCCGGTCGTACCACTGGTATCGTTCTCGACTCCGGTGATGGTGTGACCCACGTCGTTCCAATCTACGAGGGTTTCGCTCTTCCGCACGCTATTTCTCGTATCGACATGGCTGGCCGTGATTTGACTAACTACCTCATGAAGATCCTGGCTGAGCGTGGTTATTCTTTCTCCACCACTGCTGAGCGTGAAATCGTCCGCGATATCAAGGAGAAGCTCTGCTATGTCGCCCTCGACTTCCAACAGGAGATACAGACTGCCTCTCAATCCTCCAGCTTGGAGAAGTCCTACGAGCTCCCTGACGGCCAGGTCATCACCATTGGCAACGAGCGATTCCGCGCTCCAGAGGCCCTCTTCCAGCCCAGTGTCCTGGGCCTTGAAAGCGGCGGCATCCACGCCACTACGTACAACGCCATCATGAAGTGCGACGTTGATGTCCGAAAGGATCTCTACGGCAACATCGTCATGGTGAGTTCTATAAATATATACCTTATTACATATATCGCTAGCAATAATACTAACTAACTGATCTAGTCTGGCGGCACCACCATGTACCCCGGTATCTCTGACCGTATGCAGAAGGAGATTACCGCTCTCGCACCCTCGTCGATGAAGGTTAAGATTATTGCCCCGCCTGAACGTAAATACTCCGTCTGGATCGGTGGTTCCATCCTGGCCTCCCTCTCGACCTTCCAGCAAATGTGGATCTCGAAGCAGGAGTACGACGAGTCCGGACCTTCCATCGTCCACCGCAAGTGCTTCTAAGGTATGGGGATTTGCGTTTGCTTTCTACCTTTAGTGTGTGTTTATTTTCTGTTATTAAAAGAGATGCTAGGTTTTCGTTGTTGTCGTTGCAGTTGTTGCAGCTATTGTTTTTACTTTTAGGAAGGGTGTGAAGCTTTTTTTCTTTCCATTTTATTTTTATATATCTTAATCAATAAAAAGAAAGAAAAAAACCAAAATCAAAACTACGAGAAAACAGCTTGTAACTACATGATTTTTCATAACAATTTTCCCCCATTCATCTTCTTCTCTACGTATCCAAATTTCTTCCTCCCATTTCTACGACCTGGATGATCCGATTGATTGGTTGGTTGATTTTTCATAGAGTATGCCCCATTTAACCTCTCAAGCTGTCATCTTACAAACCTCCCACCCATCAAACGAATATACATACATACCTACATTCAGACAGACAGACCAAAAGCAAAATATTTTCCCTCCTCACACCCTATTTCAAATCAAAATTCAATGTCCCAAGTCCCAGGTCTGCCAAAAATCGAAGCCCGTTACTTGGTTGATTGCCGCCGCCGCCGCCGCTGCTGCTGCTGCCCTTCTTCTTTATTATCAAGAAAAAAAAAATGTATCGAAATTGAAAAGGGGAAAAATTATCAAAGTTAAAAAACTACTTCACTTTATTTTCTCTTTTGCTCGCATGATTTTTCTTCCCTTTGGAGCCTCTTAATGGGAGGTAGTGTCTATTCTGTTTTTACCTGGGAAAACGAAGGGGGTGAAAGAAAAATTTTTTAATTTTATGAAAACAATGTAAGAACGATTTGCGATTTTCCCACCTTTTATCAACGTGCTTTTGTAACTGTGATGATGGGTGGATTGATCAATCTCCTTTCTCCCGCACCTTTTTATATTTGAACTTTATAGGAGCAGGAGGTAGAGAATGCCAGCAATGTGCCATGGTACCTGATATAGGACCCCTTCCTTCACCATAAGTATTCCCGCTTATCGTAAGTTGTGGACCTCATCCTAAGGTTACTAGCATTCTCTCCCCCGGAAGGGCATGCTCCCAAAAGCTGGTGATAATATAACCTGGGATAGTAGCGGGGAATGGGAGATGAATGCATGAAACCGTACATTAGACAAGGAAAAGGAAACAAGCAGAGAATTGCCATTTGGGATGTCTTGACCTTATATTGTCATGCGTGCAACCTGAGTTGGGACCTTCAACATTATTACAAGTATCAAATCATATCATGATTGCAATTGTGGATGGAATAAAATAACATGGGGGGGTTTTTTGCTTGCACCCAAGGATCAATCCGTAAGGTGGGCCCAACGAAGTCTAGGGTATTTTCCATAAGCATGGTGTTTTAACAGGTTGATCGTAAACATGTTTAGTGAAGGCATAGTCTGCGGCATCTCTACAAGCGTTTGTCAATATTAGGTCTTATATAATAGTTACAGGTATTAAGGGTTGCACTAAATAAGCGCTGGGAACTCCCGCCGGCAAGCATTGAGGACAACAGTGGTGTTGGGGGGTTTGGATTGGTTCGTCCCCTCTACTAGCAGCATGGCGCTGGTGTGAGAGAGCTCTTTTGCCCCAGTAGCCTAACAAGTGGATCATCCGCAGGCACTCTTATTATTGATAGCTGGAGTAATCCGCGCTGGTGGTGAGATAGTTGGAGACGCGAGATTTTGAGATATTTGAAGCTTCGAGAATAAGTATATAAAGGCACCGACATTTTTTTACAACAAATGTTACATTCTATCTTTCTTCTATCTTGCTTCAAGTTGCTACTACCCCAAGCGAACTGATATTTCCCTCCCTCCTATTTGATATTTGCCACCCGGATAAGAGCCGCTTCATCCACCCATACCCTCTACTTCAGGAGCCATGTGTCAAATCGTTATATCCATCGGCGGCCGCGGGCACGACGTGGATATGTTTGTGATAAGGTGTAAGGGCCGAAATGAAATCCGCTTGTGCCTCATGAGAAGAATCCGCATCGCCCCCGAGTTAACTTATTTCCTTTCGGAAACGTGATTAGAGGTTGTCATACAAGACTGGATATAAAGCTACGGACGGGTAATCCCCCTACTTCTCCCTTGCAATGCGTGGCATATAGCGTTCAAGCTCGGCAAGCATATTCCTGTTTTGCAACTTATTTGGGACCCAAGAGTGAAGCTGGTGGAAGTCTCCGACCCACTTTCCTCGAGAGCTATCCGCCTACTAGTGAAAATTCCGGAACTTTAAAACACATGTCTCTGTTTTCAATTTAATGTACAGATTACAAGTACGAGAATGTGCAAATATTTGTGGAAGTGTAGGGATATTCCGGGAGAACTAATTGAGAAGATCATCAGATAGGAAAACATATATCTATATATAGATATAGATATATGAACTTGTCAGGTAGAGCTGTTGCTTCATAGCCAACTAGAGGATAAATATAACAGCTGTTGCTCACATTTTCTCTCCTCCGTTCACGATTGCCGTATCGGGGACCTCCGCTATTCTCTTCAACATCCCTGTCACGTAACCCCGGTTCGTGATTATTTGGATCATATCAAAGCTCTCTAAGTTGAGGCGCCTATTTCCCACGCCTCATTTCAAGCCCACCGCTCCTCTCGAAGATTCTCAAGGGGGGAAACGCGTCTTTTCAAGCATCATCGTCGCGCCTTCATTTGGAAACCACAGAAAGTGCAATCATATCATTCCTGCTGCTGGAGACAAATGGGAGAAGCCAATGTTCATTATTTTCCCAGACGGAGAGCCGATGGTAGGCTTGATGGTCGGCGAAACTGTCCTCTTTGCCAGGAGGCTAAGCAGAGTCCTATACGGAAGGAAGGCAAGGGAGTCAAATAGACCATTGTCCTAATTTGTATTGTGTCTGTTTGAGGGAAAGGAAAATAAGGGCTTCATTATTTATTCCCCCGGTTCCTCCCCTGCTTTAAGTTTGGCCATTTTTGCTTTTTTGCCAGTGCTTTTTGAACGCTCGGACAGGAGATATAGTTAACATGAAAGCAAGGCAAGTATCGGAAATTCGAGACAGATACTGGTACTAGTAGTTATATGTGTGTTATATGTAGCAATTTTAATGAAGGCCGACATGCGGATTTGAAGAAACGCTTTTATGAGCTTCATGTGCTAGTGATGCATCGAATGTGGTTGAGACCTAGGCAGTATGATATCAGAATCATCGGAGAAATTTCAATTAACAACAATACCTAGTAGTCAATCATGTCGAAGTTGATGCCAAATACGTTCAGAAATTTCAAAATTTCGTCAAAATTCCAGCCTCCTAATCAGAACAATCATGCCACTGTGGGCCTAAAACAATAGGCTCATCTCGGCCTCTGCATAAAAACAATAAAATAGGCAGCTTTCTTTATGGGGCTTTTCACATTCACAGGACTAACAAATAATGATATACGGATTACTGCCAATAAGAATTGAGTAAATACAGAATCTCTCAGTAATAATGCTGCCTTTCTTGTTGTATTGTTCCCATTGGTTTGTGACAAATCGATAATACCGATATACAGGTAATGACCTTGTATCTGGACTTGGATCCCCCTTCGGGCCACTGTGAGAACGTGTAATGAGAGTACAGTACGGAGCGTATTGGTACGGTCCCTGTTATGACGCCACGGATGCGGCTTAGATGCCCTTTCTGGGCCCATTTGGCCCCCTTTGGCCCCCTTTGGCCCCCTCTTCTTTTCTGGCGTGGGCGGCGGCTGGCCTTGGGTCGTCACCTCACAGACCCGAGCGGCTGTATTGTCCAATACCGTGACCGTACATCCTTGATACCAGACCACGAAAAAAAAAAAATTCCAACCTTCTCGTTTCTGGCAACGACCTCAAGTCTGGTCTTCTCTTCTTCTTCCTCTTCCTCTTCCTCTTGCCACCCTTCAACCCCCTCCCCATCATCACAACACATCAAATTTTGATTTACCGGCGGATCCTCTTCTTTTTCTGAAGCAGGACGATCGCGGATAGTTCAGTCTCCTCTGTTCCATCCGTCGCTTTTTTGAAAATCCCGTCTTCCGCTTTGCGGTGGTGGTGTGCGGATTTTTACAGCCACTCCTTTATTCGGGTGTCTCGCTGATCCATCTCACCAGGTACTTCCTCTTTCTCTTCTGTGCCTCAGCTTTGGCCGTTGCAGGTCGATTCAAAGGATGCTCAGTGGTACTGCGACTCGTGATTTTTTCGTCAATCCGTGTGCGCGGATGCTCTGGGCATTCTTCGGTCAAAGAAAGAAGAAGACTGACTCTCCGCTCGCTTTGTGTGGGTTAGGTTTTGTGTGCCAAACCATATCCTCTGTTGGTTGACACGTTCCTACGACAAGGCAATATCTATTTTTTTTTTAGCCTTCATCGACTTTGTTGCATCGTCTTTGCTCCATCGCGCAGTTTTTACGATTTGCTATTTTAACAGCTGTTTTTATTTCCCCCCCCTCGTCTCGAGCCGGATCTGGAATCTGCTGGGCGCATATCTTCCCGGCTTGTTTCTTGAACGTTTCTTGCGCCTAATAATTTTCATTTATTTCACCTTGTTCCGGCGACTTTTGGCGCAGACTACCGTGTAATGACATCGATCTCACAGACATCAGGCCTTCAACCACAGGGACAGAGTACCAGCAGTTCGGCCGTCTCCCAGGGTCACTCTCCCATTCCATCGGTGAGTTGAAAATCAAAGAAATGGACAACGAAGAAGAAAAGAAAAGAAAAATTGTGGAAGTGAAATGGATTTTGCAGAATACTGCACCCTCTTCTTAAACACATTCATTCCCATGCTTTGAAAACAGGTTGCTAACGCGACAAAGAAATCTTCTCCGCAGGCCGTTACCGTCGAAACGGCAACTTCAACGATTGGCGGAAGTGCACCTACTCAAGCGCCTCAGCATGGAAAGTCGCCTTCTGTCTCTCTGAACGGAAAACACATGCAGCATCCAGCACCCCAGGTCGCCGGTGGCTTGACCATCGTCAACGGAACCACCGCTCCAAACCCGTCTTTACACGACAGGAAAACTTCTGTCACTATCAATCCTAATTTAATCCCGAATGGAGGCCCGGCTGGCGCTTCAGGCCGCGCAAATAATCTGCGATTCGGTTCAATGGACTCCCATGGAGCTCCTATGAACAATCCGGCATCGCTTCCAAACCAACCCCAGTCTACTCTAGGTGTTAATCCATCTATGAATCCTCGCACAACTTCCCCACAGACATCTCCCTCCCCCATTCCTCAACCTATAGCGAGTGGCGGACGGCCACCATCGTCGCTACAAGGGCCAGGTAATAATCTTAACTTTGGCAGCTTTGGTAGCGAACCGGGTGATATGAACGTAAGATCGATCGATTTCATTGTTTGCTTTTATATCTATTTGAACAAGATCTGCCCCGTTCAAACAAGGATTTATACTGACACTGCGTATTCAGCGGCCGAATATGCGGCCTGTTCCTCAGGGCCCTATGGGTCCAAATGCCCAGTCTTCCCACTTTCGACGTGAATCAACACACTCCGCACATGGCGACATGGGAAATCATGGTATGCCAGGGGGTCCTCCAGGACGCGGTGGCTACGGTCATAGTGGTCGAGGAAGAAGCTACGGACAACCCCATCAACCAATGGGATATAACTCTCCAGGCCCGACGTACAGGTCGACCCCCAACCAACCACGCGGCGGGCCCAATATGGGATTCCATGGCCATAACCAGCGATCGCTAGGCCCCTTCCCACATTCGCCCCGTCAGGCTGCCCGAAGCCCTGCCCTTTCCAACGTGAACCCCGCGACCCCCCCAATGTCCCAAGTTCCCATGGCAAACACGCAAATGCAGGCCCAGCATTTTGGCGGATACCCTACTCATATGGGCCCTCAACAAGTAAAGCAACAATCTTCTTACCCCCCTAAATATTCTAATCGTCGTTCTTCTTTATCCCATAAACACAATGGCCCCCGTTTTAAACACCAAAATGCTCAACGACACTTTACTCCCCAAGCCCAATTTCAATACCCCCAACCCCCGACACTGTCACCAGAGAGTGGTCATTTTGAACAGTATCTGACAATGATTAAATCTCAGGGATTCGTTGCTCAGGGCTATGATCCTAATTATTATTTCCAACCGTCGCCATATAATATGCCTCAAGGCCAGTACCAGTACATACCCCCCCCGTCGCCTCGCGCCGCTATGAATGTACCGCACCCACCCCAAGCCCCTTACATGCAGGCCCAATATAGCAACCAAGGCCATCCACCTCCACAAGCAACCCCACTTTCACGATCCCCCTCGCAGGTTTCGGGCCCGGATCGGCCAGGCTCAAGTCTAGGACCGGCCCAACAATCCGTACCAATGACACAAGGGCCTTCTTTCAATGCGACTCGATCCACTAGCAGTCCAGTGCAAAAATCTCAGTTTGTAGTACCAACCAAGAAGAGTTCTGTTGTCATCAAGGATCCCGATAGCGGTAAGGAGATGAACTTTCTCAAACAATCGACATCCCAGCCTCGGACAACGCCTTCGCCTGTCAAGCTAGGTGGTAATACACCAGCTTCGACCCCGCCTCCTCGTACTGGAAGCCGTGCTGAACATGAAAGGTCAGACTCGAAGTCCATGACAGGAGAGGAGAAAAAGCAGTCCTTCCAAGACGCTATCGCTCAAAAGGTCAGGGCTGAAGCTGAAGCTCGCAAGAGGGAAGAAGCTGAAAAAGCTGAGATGCAATGGAAGGAGAAGGAAGAAGCTGAAGCCAAGGCTCGTAAGGATGCAGAGGGAAAGAAGGCTGCTGAGGAGGCCGAGAAGGCTGCTGCAACAGAGAAGGAAAAGGAACAAGAGCGACAAGAAGCAGCGGCCAAAGAAGTCAAACCGGAAGCTCCAAAGGCTCCTGTTGAAGCTGCATCAGCCGAAGATGAGATTGATTGGGACGCATTGGAAAAGGAGTTAGCTGAGAAAGAAGCTGCAGCTGAGAAAGCGTATGCAGAAAAGAAGAGGAAGCAGCAGGAAGAGAAAGCTCTCAAAGAGAAAGAAGACCATGAGGCTTACATCGCCAACCTTAAGAAAGCTGAACAAGAAGCGGAGGCTGCGGAAGAAGCTCGAATCCGCAAACTCGAACAGGGCGAGGAGGAGGGTGCCAAGAAAGAGCGGACAGATTTGTTTGCTTCCCTCAAAAATAAGGGCGCTCAATCTCCCCCTTCCGCAACCGAGAGCCCCATCATTCGAACCCCTGCCGAAAGCGGAGCTGCCACGCCCGTATCAGATATCTCTATGGGCCCGCCCCCCTCCAAACCTGCTAGCGGCGGAAAGCGGGATAAGCCTGCTGCATTGAAGCTGGAAACTACGAAAACTGTCGAGCCACCCCAGCCAAGCGCAGCAATGAAGTCCCTCCAGACCGCCCGATTCCTCGAGGATCCTAGCAAGGTCACCTACCCTCCCGCAATCGTCTCTCCTAATCCTGCTCTGAACGCAAACGCTCCAGTCGACCGTAAATTTAAGTATAACAAAGAATTCCTACTCCAATTCCAGTCCGTTTTCAAAGAGAAACCATCAATCGATTGGGACAGCCGTGTTCGAGAGACTGTTGGAGATAGTTCAGATAGTTCTTCGCGTCCCGGATCCGCTCGAACTCCAATCATAAGTAGCGGACGGGCCACCTCTCGTCCAGGAATCCAAGCTTCTTTCCCCAACGCCGTCATGGGTAAATTTGCCCAAACTCCCGGACGTTCGCAAACGTTGCCCCCTGCAGGTATTGGTCGGGATGGGTTCCCTATGGCAACTGGGGGCCATGGACCATCTATGGCAAATCCTTTTGGCCACTTTTCTCGTGGCCCCGGTGGCCTTCCTCTTGGCAGTTCGCCTATGAGCCGTTCTAGTTCATCGACTATGCAGCAGATGCCATCCCCACGCGCTGGCAGTCACCGAGGTCAGCGCTCAGGAAGCAAGCGGGATAAAGTGTCGAGGAAGGAGGAAGAAACCAATAACAAGACCATGCCACTCACTGCTAACTTGGACATAAAGCCACTGGTTCCGTCTCAGACTGGATGGAAACCACGCAGCATTGGACAGAGCCTTTCTGGCCCAGCTCTTGGTGGCGATGGACACATGCCACCAGATGTTGTGCAACGGAAGGTTAAAGCTAATTTGAACAAGATGACACCCGAGAAGTTCGACCGTATTTCTGATCAGATACTTGAAATCGTGGGACAGTCCAAAGATGAATCAGATGGGCGCACACTCCGACAAGTAATCCAACTTACCTTCGAGAAGGCCACAGATGAAGCCCACTGGGCTCCAATGTACGCTAAATTCTGCAAACGTATGCTAGATTCCATGAGCCCTGAAATCAAGGACGAAAATATCAGGGATAAACAAGGCAATGTTGTCACTGGTGGCAGTTTGTTCCGAAAATACCTTCTCAATCGCTGCCAAGAAGAATTCGAGCGAGGTTGGAAAATAAATCTCCCCGAAAAGCCTGAAGGTGTCACCGAGGAGGCTGCGATGATGTCTGATGAATATTATGCTGCAGCTGCCGCCAAGCGGCGAGGTCTTGGCTTGGTTAAGTTTATTGGTGAATTGTACAAACTCGGCATGTTAACTGAGAGAATCATGCACCAGTGTGTGAAAAAATTGGTTGATTATGAGGGTATTCCTGAGGAAGCCGAAGTGGAGAGCTTGACGAGTCTGCTACGAACGATCGGATACAGCCTTGACAACTCTGAGAAGGGTCATGGTATGATGGATGCATACTTCGTGCGGATCAGCATGATGATGGAAACTCCTGGCCTTGCCAGCCGTCTTAAGTTCATGCTTATGGTATGTTTCGCAATTCCGGAGAAGATTCATTTCTCCTTCTCTTATGGAGTCGGATGCTAATAGTTTTCAGGACATTGTCGATTTACGTAAAGCTGGGTGGATGTCGAAAGATGGCGATAAGGGCCCTAAGACAATCGTTGAGATTAGAGAAGCTGTCAGTAATCACCAGTATGATATTTAATTGGGTCAAAAAATGTTCCACCCGCTAATCTGTCTTTTATAGGCTGCCCGTGCTCAGCAAGAACAAGAAATGGAACGCCTGCGCCAACAGGCCAGCAGAAGTGGTCGGATGCCAATGGGCCGAGGAGATTCACGGAACTTCTCTGGTGGTTACGGAAGTCAAGCTCCGCCTCCCGACTTTGCATCAAGCAAGGTTGGCAGCGACGATCTCCGCCGACTGAAGACCACCAGGAACACGAACCAACCGATATCCTTTGGACCTTCCAGCATGTTTGGTTCCCGGAGCAGCAGCGGCCGTAAAAATCTTGGACCTGGCGGCAACCTAGTCCGTGGTGGCGAAGACAGCGGCGCAAGCAGCCGTACTGGTACTCCACCAGGCGGTAAGGATAAAAAGGACGACAAGGAGGCTGCATCCTCAGTAAATGCATTCAGGTGAGGATTGCAGACCCCCAAGCCCCCCAAGCAATACAGCACGATCCACGTCTAGGGCTTTTCCTACATACCATATATAGACTAGAATGGCTAATTTGTTCCCTCTCCGTCTCTTCTTTTCCCTGCTCCAGTGCTCTTGCCGCCTTGAATAATGAAGATAACCTGGCTACATCGCCGCCATCGAATCCATCCTCCCCTCCCATGGTCAAGTCCCAACCAGCCATTGAGCTGTCAAAACCCCCAGCAAAGGAGCAGGAAGGCCGAAGTCCATCTTAATTTTTTTTCCCTTTTTTAAATTAAGGCGTGTCCTTGTGACCCGTTACCCCATCTTGACTCTCCCTCCCTTTACCTGGGGAAGTCAATCTCTTTCAACCAATGCGCTGCCGGCGTTTCTCAAACCCTTCAAAAAACCAATTTCATAGACGATACAACCTTGTAATACTTTTTCCTGGTTTCACGAAAGCAAACAAAGAAAACCCGTTCACGGCGTGATATACATTGCTTCTTGGGCGGGCCATAAAATGGACAACAAAAGCTGGAAGGGCATGAGAATCAAAATCATGGGTGGGACTTTTCCATGGGATATAGTAGAAATATAGAGCGAGAGAGATGTGAGGAGACTGGGTATGAAGAACCACAATTTTTTTTTCATTCTATAAAAGTCCACATCATTTGGCGGCGACGAACAGATTTGGTTTGGTGGAAATGGTGAGAGTCGAAGGTGCGGTGGTGGAAAAATCCTGTTATTTTCTTTTTATGTGTTTACCTTTTCTTCCCTTTCCTAATATCTCTTTTCAAATGTGGGAAAGGAGAACAAAAGGGCAAAAGAATGAAAGAATACCCAGAAAGTTGTGTGCGTTGTTTTTTTCTTTTATTCTATTTTTTTATTTATTGTTATTATTTTTTTTCCAACTCCTCATTTTATTATTTTCCGTACCCCATTTCTTGTCTTTCTAACTGTTTCTTTTTTCCTATTCCTTTCCCTTTTTTTCTCCTTTCTTCCTTTCTTCCTTGATCATCTGCACTGACTGTGTGCTATGCATTTGCACGGTGATGTTTCTAAGTTCTCTTTTCTCTTAACTACAGTTTTTTCTTCCTTCACTTTTCGCTTGAATCAATCAGTTGGTTGATTAAAAAATACATAACTTTTTTCTATCTATTCATGTCCAATCTGCGTCTGTATGTGTCTCTCCAAATGTTATCTCAAGTCCATGTCCATGTCCATGTCCATGTTTGTAATTCCATGATACTTTTTGTTTTTAACTTCTTTTCCTCCATTCAAGTAACTAACTCTTATTTGTTTTCACTTCTTTTTTTTTAATTCTGCTCCTTTTTTCTATTTCCTTTCTTCCCCCTTCCCTCTTCTGTCTTTTTCCCCTTCATTGTTAGGTATTGATTTTTTTTTTTTCCTTTTTTCTTTTCCTTGTGCTTGCTTCTGTTCCTGCTTCTTCATCTTCTTAAATATGTCTAACTAGCTAACTAACGTACTCAAATCACTTCGGGGTTATTTTAATTGATTTTATATTGTGTCATCTCTCTTCTCTCTCTCTCTCTCTCTCTCTCTCTATATCCCTCTCTCTCTTTTCTGAGGGAAACTTTCCTTTCCCAATTGTCGTACACAATATACATTTTACTTTTTATTGTGCAGCTATGCACGGGGTTCAAAGTTTCAGGTTAACAAAAGTCTGCTTTACCGGGCCTCCTTTTTAGTGTATATATATATGTGAAGTGTGAAAGTTGGGAGTACATGAATTAACCTACTTGGCAAAGTCAACTTCTCATCGCACAGGAATATATTATATATAAACTATGTGAGGTAACAAATATTAACTAATCGCATGAGCATGTTGAGAGCATGCATACCATGCGTAAAGACAGGCACACTGACACAGACAAAGATATAGACGCCATCATCATTATGTTCATAAAGAAATCGCAGCTTTGTAGGATCCACTTGTCCTTGGAGGGCAATTTGCTGAGCCATTCGTTCGCTCGTTTGCTCGCTCGCTAGGGGAATTAACAATATAGAATATTAAGAGTAAGTATAGAAAGGGTAAAGCACAAAGTTAAAGTTGAAGAAGAAAACAACGTAGTAACTGGATGACTCATGGATGTGTCCGCAACATGATAAGCGTGAAAGCAAGTAAAAAGGAAGAAAAGTCGAAAAAAAGAGAATAGAAAGGGGTATAGAATTACAGCATGTGAAATTCGCCGGCAGTGGTAGTTGAGTGCAGAGCATGAAGTGATATATCTCTACACACATTTCTCGATTCCAAATGGCTCAAGAACTTGACGATACAAGGTTATAGCACCTGTAGCCATCAGAATTTAGACAATGCTCCATCATCGACTTTTGATGGGAGAGCCATAATGTTCATTTGTGGGCTAGTGGTACGTTCCTGCGCTTTAGTCTTTGTAGTCGAGTTATGGTCCTTTGCAAAGTCAACAACGCTTGTCCCGGCCGTGCTATTGGTCAGTGGATCACTCTGGCCTGAGTCACCAGAGCCGGAACCACTGCAACTGCTTGATCCATTCTTGCGACCACAGGAGGATTTGGAACACTGGTCGGGACGAATCTGACTTCCCGATTTTCCCCTTGACGTAGGGCCGCAATTTGTTGAAGTGTCTATGCAAAGGCCGTAAGACGTTTCGAAGTTTGGGATAATTTTCCCGTTTGTAGCATCCTGAGAATCGCTTCGTACTCGCGTATTTCCACTGTAACCAGGAGCTTGATTTTCTCCAGGGTGAGTAGCTGATATGATTTGGTATTCTCCACCAAACTGAACACTACCATGACCTTCTAAGTCGTGTCCATCTAAGGCCCGGGGATTAGGCCTATTTTCTTTGTGAAGTTGTTTGAGGTGGTCATTTCCAATACGTGAATCAATTGAGCCAGGCCAGAAGTCTCCTTTGTGAAATCCGGTTGTAAGATCACTCTCACAGAACTGTTTTCTGAGAGAATTTGATAACTGAATTGGAGTATCTGTTGATTTGATACCTAGGTTAAGGAGGTCATTCGGCACTTCATAAGGCCCGCCAACATCTGGCCGGGTATTTCTTACAGAATTTAGATTACTAAAGTTTTCCTGTCTCGCAAATTCAGGAGCTATTCCTTGCTGCGGAGAATTGGGTTTAGAAGCGAATGCGTTTTTGTGCTTGTTTGTGACCGCATCGCTAATCCCCAGTTCACTGCACTGCAGTGTCTCCGATCTAGAGGAAGCTTGAGCATGTCCATATGGCCGCCGTAAAACTGATGCAGAGTATAAGTCACTTGGGTGCCTTGTTGAAGGGGGTTGGGACCGACACAAGGTGCTTCCAGAAATATCAGTATTGTCGCGCGGGTGACAAATGCTAGATAATGAAGATAGCCAGGAGCTGAGAACCGCATCACTCTCTGTAATCGAAGCATAACGATGCGGGGCGCATGTGCGGTGCATTTCCGCCCCAAATTCAGAATCTGTGATGGTGCTAGGTTCTGAAATTTCAGGACTGGCTGCGCGTGGTGGCTGCATTCGAGTTTCTAGCCATTGCTCTCCAAGGTTTAAAAGCGACTGAGGCTTCGCACCATTGGCTAAATCTTTTGGTATTTGGGTCTTCTCTTGCTTTCGGTTGTCAAGGGCAGCTGGGTGTGACTGCATCTGTTTACGCCGGGAAGTTGACAAGTTTGAATTATCTTTTCGATACACGCGAGCTTGCTGACGGTTAAACGGTGGGCGTTTTGACGTGATTGGGATCGGTAGGCTCGCCCTCTCTGATTCTGCAGCCGAAACCCCGTTAGTGCATAATATATCATCTTGGATGCAAGGAATGTGTGCCCCCAAAAGCTCACTGGTATTTGAATTATTTGTATATCCTTGGCGCCGCTGAACTGCGGATTGGCCACCAGGCATGGAAGTCACTGCATTCTGCAGAATATTGAAGGGTTGGACTGGTCGACTGAATTTGTGGAGCGCAGATTCATAGTTTTGAAGGTAGGATGTCTCCTGTTCCGCATACCTTCCAGCAGTACAAGCTTCCAATTCTAATGGGGACATCAGGCCTGATGACATTGATGGAAGTGACGGTAAATAGTATTGCCGCGGGACATCCAGGACTTCAGGCAAGAACGAGGTTTGGGAGCCGTCGGACCTGTCCAGCAGCAGATAGCTTGCTTTGTCTTCGGGCTCAATTTGACTCGCGTCTAGGGGCTCCCGAATTGAGTTTAAACGAGGGCTGGAAGGGATTTCTGAACGAGAGAGGCGTTTCAGGAGTCGTGATGAGCCAGTGAACGACGCGAAGCTGGACCTAATGCTTCTGCGAGGTTTTTGATTTTGGGTGTTTGGAGATACAGGTCCGGGCTTGGTGGAACCCTGAAACCGTGCTCTTATAGACCGGCCATAGCTAGCCCAAAACCCCTTATCGTTACCCTCATAGGCAAGGGCATCTAAATCATGTCTAGGGTCAAGAGGGTTGTACAGCGGATAATGGATCCTTTCTTGGCATGTAATGGTGGTTATGTCTTGGTCCCTGCGAGCCAGACATCAGAAGGAGACATCGAGATGATGTCTGAGGGGACACTTACGGTTCCTTTGCCGGAGACGAAGTAGTAAAGAGGCCAGCTAAGCTTCGACGACGATGGAGGTCATTTTTAGCACGTCGCGACCTCAGCGAGGAGGGCTGTGTTCTGGACGCGTCTTCACCAAATCGACCTTCAGGGCTGAGTGTCAGCCGCTTCCAAATGGAAGCCATAGATGATATTCCCCTTGATATGGGTGGCAACACTGGAGGGAATAAGATAGGTCAATTAAACCGCCATCTGTTCGTGCATGCACGAAGCCAAGAGACGGAAATAGGAGACAACAAGGAAAGCTGTAGATGCACAGGCACCGAATGTGGTATTCAAGGGGCTGGTTATCTGTGAGCCCCTTTATAGTTCTGGGTATCAGGCGAGAGAAACAGGACACAAAGCGGTTCCTGAAGGAACAGCAGACACAGTCGATGTGATAAAAAGAACAGCGAAAGAGAAAGCGAAAGAGATGAAACGACGACGATGAGGCTCAAGGCCCGCGGTCAGGACGAGCAGGACGTGCTCGATTAGGAAAGAGGAGAGCGCACATGGCCTGGTACCTCGCCACCAGCACAAATCAGTATGCATGCCGCGGTACCCTGCCATACCACACTACATTTCACTATAAATACAAATGGTAAATGGTTATCCCGCGGATTGCGAGAGAACTCTAGGGTTAGTCCGGAGGCATCTTGAGCAAATGTCGTGGCCTGTACTCCGTATATTATCCACGATTCGCGATGAGACAGAATCGTCTGCTCACACCTCGGGGAATCCCAGCCCCTTAAATAGGTTTTTGGATGGAGCCCCCGCTAGACAAATACGGTTTAGATCCAGCGTCTCTGGTTCTGCTCCTTTTCATCCACCAAAGCCCAACCGTGAAGTCTTACTTGAACTCCAAGACGCGCCGCCAACGGCTTGACCAAATATTTGCCAGAAAATACTGTCGCAAATCGGTTGACTAGTCTCTTCATTCAGCCCAACACCTCCACTTTTATTTTGGAACACCAGTCCTATATAACAGCTACCCGCTGCGATGGCCGCGGCCAAGGAAGCCGTCTCATTCAATGAGATTATCCAGGCTGGTAAATGATGCTCCTGCCTTTTATTTATCCTGTTGAAACCCTCTTTGTTTGGAGTTGAGACAATGTATTCGTTAACTAACAGATTTTCCTTGTCAATCCTCTAGCCCGCACGCGCCGGAGGAAACAGGCTTTGACTGATAAATTCTTCGATGCGAAAAGACGTTCAAGTGCTCCGGCTCCGGCTTCGGGGTCTGGTGTGGGCGGCGCGGGCGCGGGCTCGTTGGCCAACAGAGTATCTGCTGTGCCGGGCAGCCTTGCAAGCAGACTGGGTGTTGTAAAGGTATTGCCTTTATATTAAAACCATACATTCGACAACCCATTTGCTAATATACGATGCACAGAGATCAGCTGCAGCCGCGTCGACGAGAAATTCTGGCGCCGCTGTGTCCACCCGTCCCGCCGGACAGAACCGCATGTCCTTCGATCTCATTACACAAAACAATGATCGAGCACCTGTCCAGGACCGGGGCCCAGGAATCAGTATCAAAGGAAGCGCGTCTGGACCTTGCGTTGTGCTAGGAAGTAACTTTGCGCCCGGCACCACCGCTGCAGATATTGAGTCGGCACTGGAACCCGTAAGAGGTGCTATGCTGAGTTGCAGGATCGTGTCCACTCACCCAGAGGTGACCGCTGAGATGATTTTTGAGGAGAGGAGTCATGCTGAGAGCGTAGTCGCCCGCTTTGATAATCAAAAGGTACGAGCAAGTATCCCTGCGTTGAACCAGCTCTATTCGCACTGGGGACGACTGACAAATATATCCTTCAAGGCGGATGGAAGGATCCTCCATCTTCGAATAAAACCGGAACCACTGCCTGCACAGATACTCTCCGAAGCGAGACTCCGCCACCGCCGGTCACATTCCAATTTCGACAGCCTGCGCGAACAAGCAGACCGTGAGCGTCGTGAGCTACGACACGCTGATCCTCATGTACAAGACGGCCGTTACGGGTTCGATGATCTATATCCGCCGCCGCAACATCATGGAGCCCGTTCAAACAGTGATTATCCAAGCGGAGGTCAGCGAGGGAGTGTTAATGGATCGGGGAGGAACCGAAACATGGGGAATGACAATTCGGGACTCTACAGTGACCAAATGATTATTGATGAGCCGAGCCGCGAGTCGCGCTACCGCGGGAGACGCGGGGGGTAGAAACCTGGCTTGCTATCAATTGCCAGAAACGGTTTGTACCTGATTATAACCTGCCGGTCTACGTTTTCGTCGTGGTATCAGGGGACTATTATTTCTTTTCCAGGGCATGGAAATTGCGTGGGTATAACCTCTGGTTATGAAGACTCAAAAGGATTAATAAAAGGGCGGGGGGTGATATTTGCGATTGAACTTCCTTTTCTCGGTTTGGTCATGGGTTCATATATAAGGTTTCATTCTGTTTTATTTATTGCATGGAAAAGGAGAAAGGACTTTTTTAGATACGATTTCAATCAACTGGGTTTCTAGAATATTAGCTGGGGTTTTTGGGGATGTTTTGCTTGAAAAAAAAAAAAAAAAAAAAAAAAAACTCTGTTATCCTCTCACTTTCATTATTTTACTTTTCCCCTTCGCGATAGAATTACTGGCGTTTCGCTTGCACTGGTTTTTCGCACTGATTGTAAAGGTAAAACATAGCTCGCAATTAATCAATAAAGGGGAAATCATAGTGCATTCACTCTCTGTGTTTTCGAACGGAAGTATGTAATTGCCATTGTTGCGGTGTCAGGTTTCGCGATGGCTACTGCATCTTCCGTGTCTGGGCCTCCGAGCTTCGAACTCCGACTCTCTTCCGTCCTCTCGCCATAAAAAATATATATACTAGTACATATATTCCCTTACGGGAAAGCAATATTGTCGCATCTAAAATGAGCAATGGATCCACTCGCCTGCTCATAATGCGCCTCGGAAAAGGGCCCCGTTATTATTATCCTCGACTGGCTCCTCCGTATCCTCATACTGCCGCACGATGGTCTTCCACCTCCGCTGGAAGCTCCGTTCCGCGTCAATGGTCTACACCACTGGCGAAATCCATTGCTGAGGCCATAAATGTGTGTATTTCCTCCGGAAATAGTATAATTTTATCTCCTGCGTTTCTTTTTTCTTTCTTTCTTCTTTTAAGAGAAGAAGTTGTGCATTTCATGCTGACAGGTTCTGAAAATCCGCAGGTCACCGGCCCCGTATCCATCGCTGCATACATGCGCCAATGCCTCACCTCGCCCGATGGCGGATATTACACCTCCCGTGGCCAGGAGGATGAAGACACGGCGCTTTTCGGCGCCAAGGGGGATTTTGTGACGTCGCCAGAGATTTCGCAAATATTTGGCGAGCTGTTGGGCGTGTGGACTGTTACGGAGTGGATGGGACAAGGGAGGAAGAGTGGTGGGGTGCAGATTATTGAGTTTGGACCAGGCAAGGGGACGCTCATGGGGGATATGTTGAGGGTGGGATTTTTTTTCTTTTTTTTTTTTCTGCTTGGGTTCTTCTGCAGGAGATCTTGGGGCCAGTTTGGTCGTGGGCGATTGCTAATGACAGCAGTCCTTTCGTAATTTCAAGAACTTCGCGTCCGCGATCGAGGCTGTTTATCTAGTAGAAACCAGTCCGGTGCTACGAGAGGTTCAGCGGAAATTGCTCTGTGGAGATACGCCTCTGGAGGAGGTTGAGATTGGGTATAAGAGCACGAGTATACACTTGGGTGTTCCGGTCATTTGGACAGAGCATATCAAGCTCCTCCCGAATGGTAAGAATATTTCCCCTCTCAACCCCTTCTAGACTCCATATTTGGCTATAGATGTATAAATTCATATCTAACTCACTCCTTCCACCCATCATCCGCATAGAATCGGACAAAACCCCTTTCTTTCTGGCCCACGAATTCTTTGATGCCTTACCCATACATGCATTCCAATCTATCCAAACACCCGCCCCATCCCAAACCACTATTAATACGCCCACTGGTCCCACCACCCTCCATCAACCACCCATTTCCTCCTCCCATACCACTGAATGGAGAGAACTCGTCGTCTCCCCTAATCCTGAAACCCCAGAAGTGAAAAGCGGCCAGGAGCCCGAATTCCGTCTCTCACTCGCCAAAGCATCTACGCCATCATCCCTCGTCCTCCCCGAGATGTCTTCGCGGTACAAAGCCCTGAAATCCACTCCAGGGTCCACAATCGAGATCAGCCCGGAAAGCCAAGCCTGCGTCCAAGACATCGCAAGGCGGATAGGAGGAGGAGGTGGGCTCGTCTCCGCGCCTTCCCCCGGAGTCACGGACCCGCCGAAGAACAAAGTTCCTTCCGGCGCTGCTCTAATCCTTGACTACGGCACCACCTCAACAATCCCCATAAACTCCCTGCGCGGCATCCGGAAACACCGGCTCGTTTCCCCCTTAGTCGCACCCGGGGAGGTTGACATTAGCGCTGATGTCGATTTCACGGCGCTAGCGGAGGCGGCTATTGATGCTAGTCCTGGCGTGGAGGTGTATGGACCGATGGAACAGGGGCCATTTTTGGAGGCGTTGGGAATATCGGAGAGGGCGGCGCAGTTGCTAAGAAGGACGGAAGGGGAGGGGGATGAGGAAAAGAGAAAACGGATTGAGAGTGGATGGAAGCGGTTGGTGGAGAGGGGCGGTGGGGGGATGGGAAAATTGTATAAAGCTTTGGCTATTGTGCCGGAGAGTGGGGGCAAACGGAGACCGGTAGGGTTTGGGGGGAGTGTTTTGGGGTAGAGTGAATCTTTTTAAAGGGTTTGTTTGTATTTTTAGACGTTAGTTTGTGTGTATAATATGTTCTTGATGTATGTAAATGGAGTTAGAAACTGTTAGGTCTAGTCTTTTGATGAAATAGGGGTGGGAAGAACTACATATCAGAGTCTCTATCCAGGAGACAAAGCCGCAATGGTAAATGATACCCCTGAGAGGTTTACAACATATCCCGCGAAACGCTGGAAACGAGGATAGTCCGCTTTCCATGCCTGTTCTCTCTAAACCATCTATCATCGTCCATTGTCTATTCTGGACCGATGTTCCGTACATGACGGTCCTCAGCCAGTCTAGACTGGCACAAGCCAAATCCATATCAAAATCAAAACACCAGACCAGATATCCCATGAAACCCAGAATTGAACCTTATATATAAAAGCCATTTATTGCGGTTAAAAAACTCCCCCTTCCATACAAGATACCTCCTAACCTTTTTATAGGTCCCCTTCAATCCTCCTCCCAGATATCCTTAACGTATGCCTGCGTCAACCTTTTATCCTCCCCATACTTTTTCTGCCACTGGACGAAGCCCCCCTCTAGCACAAAAACGGCTTGCTTAGCACTCTCTTCCTTCCCGAGTGCTTGTTCTCGTTCTCGGATGTACTTGAGTGCCGCGGAAGGTCCGCGCTCCTGGCTGAGCGCGCAGTGGAAGACGACTTTCTCCTTGCCACGTAGCTTGTTTATGAGATCTGGCATGTGCTTGCTGAGAGTCGAGCTCGGGTGCCAGGTCGAGGTAGAAATATGGCCGCCGATGTGATCTGAACAATGTTGTTAGAGCAGTAAGGGTGGAACATGGCGAGGGAGGGGTATCGGCGGGGTAGATGGGAGGGGTACATTGCTCTCTTTTGCAGAGGGTTTATTGTAAGATAAGACAGAAAATATGGCTGGAACAGCACTTACCTGAATCCCGAACATCTACTATTGCGAGCTGATTGGGGTTGGTGGGAGCGAGGAGCATGGCCGCGAGGGTCTCGCGGCTCATTCGGGGAAGGGTTGCGACTGTGATTCCTGACATTTGCCGCGAAAAGAAAATGCGGATGTCGATAAAGATAAAATATATGACAGATATGTCTATCGCAATGAAAGAATAAGGACGAGGAAGAAATCTAGCAGAACGAGGGCATTTGACTTAACTGTTCTCAACATGCTCCGTTGTCCTGGTAGATTCGAATGTTCCAAGGTTGGAGGTTGACGTCACGTGAGTTGTTCCGGCCGACGCATTTCTCAAATCTTTAACATCGGCAGACAAACTCCCAGCTCGCAACGGCAGAACCCTCGGCCAACCTTCTCACATTGTCAATTCACTTCAAATTGACATATAATGTATTTTGCATGATACATTAGAATTTTACAACCATGGAGGTCCGTATTACCCGGTCCATAAATCTCCTCTCGTCCTCTCGCCGCTCCATCCTCCGACAATACCCCCTATCCCGCTCTCCAGCATCAATTGCCGCCATCGCAAGACCAATTAACACCTCAGCACCCCTTAATTCTTCCGAGAAACCTCCTCCTTCCTCGCAACCAGGGCCAGAAGGCGAATCAGGTTCTCCACAGCAACAATCACAATTGCCACCACAACCACGCCTTCGACAAAACCAGCCAGTCAAACCTTGGTCCCCAGGAGATTTATTGAAGGGACCATCTAAAAGCCCGACTCCCCGCAACAGCAGCGCCAGCACCAGTAACAAAGACGACAATCTCGCCAAAGTGACCGATATACTGAATAACTTCATCCCGCGCTCTAACCAGCCGCGACAAGCCAACAATCCTTTCCAACCACGCACATCGCAAGACGCAGCTATGTACAGACAGGTGCGCGAGGCAGTGGGCCAGTCGCAAAAGTTTCGAGTGCCCACTGTCAACATGCGGCTGGGTCCGGAGCTGGGCCGTACAGTCTCAGTAGACCCGAAAGCGGGCGTGGATGTAGCGACGGCATTCCAGATGATGGAAACCAGGGTTAGGCGGAATAAGGTCAAGTCGATGATGATGAGGCAGCGGTTTCATGTTAGGAGGGGCCAATTAAAAAAACAGTTGAGGATGGAGAGGTGGCAGAAGTTGTTTAAGATGTCGTTTCAGCACACGGTTAGGAGATGTGAGAAATTGAGGAAGCAGGGCTGGTAGAGTGTCTTGGGGTATGGGAGATGCGGTATGGGAAAAGCAGTGTGCTTTTATGGCAGTGAACGATAGAAAAAATGCTGATGGCCTTTCCCCTTTCCGTTTTTTTGGATACATGGGTTTGCTGTGAGTTTTATAGAGGCTAGGATACGATAGGATCGGATCGGAGGCATCTTAGATAGGCGTGTATAGGCATACTTTCTCATGTACTACTAGCATTTTTTTGAACATGCAACTGCATTTCCCTTGTTTCATTGCATGGTGCATATAAGACTTTGCCAAAGTTGTGCTTGGCATAAGTTTTGGTACCAGTTAAATCGTCCTCGTTGATATATACTACCGATGGCTTGTAAATGCAAGTTGTAATTGTGGTGGATATCTTCGTCATTCATCATATTCAAATGCTGAAAAGATCAAGGTCTATTGTATGTCGATGTCAAAACCACAATCACAAATCTAACGCCTGAAACCCTGAAAATTGAACAAATTTAGAGCGAAAAGAAAAGTAATAAAACACAATCGATTTCAGTCCTTCTTCCCCGTAGTGTACCCTCCATACCCTCCATATCCCCCTCCATTCCCATTCCCATGGCCATATCCATTCAACCCCAATCCATACCCATTTGTCTTCCCCCTATTACTTCCAAATCTCAACCGTCCATTCCCTCCGACATCTGGACTAAACCAACCAAAAAAGGGCGTGTGACCCAAAATCCCGTCCCCCGTATACACACTCACTATACCCCTTCTATGTGCTCACCCTCTCCACAACTACAGCCAAACCGAGTCCAACTCCAACCCAAAAGCCAAATAGACACCAGCCGCATAAACCAGCCCACCACCAGCAGCCATCAACGCCGTCGACTTCGACAGCGACTCTTCCGCATGGACCAGCCCGAGTACATCGCCGCTAGAAACCCATCCAACACGGAACGTGAACACAAGCGGCTCGCCACGAATGACCTTCATTCCCCCCTCTGCCGCCCAGGGATCCATCAACATGTCTCTCTCCTTCCTCTGCTGCTTGACATATGCAACCCAATCCTCCACATCGTAGTCATCCGCAGTGGTAGCGTCCACAACCATCGGCATTGAGTATGCTGATCCGGCCACAATCTGTCCCCGCGGGAACATCAAGATTGCATCCATCTCCTTATTATGCTCGCGATCTCTTTTCTTCCCCTCCCCCTTCGTTTTGCCCTTCTTCGACTTCTCCGACTTCTTTGAACTAGAGCCAGAGCCCACGGTAGATAACTGCGCAGACTGGTGCATGAGCACATTCATGTCCGTCCAGATGTGTAGGTGGGATAGTTGCAGGGTCCCCTGCAGCGCAATTGTCAGGGGCGTAAAGGGCGGCTGCGAAGCGGATGACGATAGGCCATTATTCCTGGGAATTTCCTCCTCGCTACCGTTGCCGCCTTCACTTCCAGTTTTGTCGTTGTGCGGCTTGCGGTCTGGAGATTTGGTGGGGCCTCCGGGTGCAGAGGAGGCAACGAGAGGGAAAGTAGGTACGCGACATGTTAATGGAACGTCGGCGTGGACGTAGTATTCAAGCAGATGATAGAGAGGGTCGGGGAGAGAGAGAATGGTGCAGGTTATTGTTTCGGAGATGCCGTAGCGGAAAGAGAGCGGGGCGGATGTCTCGTTGCAGGTTGGGAAGGGGATGTATTGGAGTTTTCCGGTTGAGTCGGTGGTCTAGAAGGTTGTTTCGCGAGTGCGTCAGCCTAAAGTTATATATATGTAGTTATATTATATCAATTTGATCCCTGAAAATCATTCTGGCCGGAAAAATGTACTACTATTCATCTGTCTGGGTGGATTTCTCTCGACACATACATGTTCTCCGGTTTCTCTACATGACCAACAAACATTAGCAAAAGCAGTCCTAACATAGCCAGACCAACCCGTACCGATTTGGTATACTGGTGAAAGGAAAGAAACTTACATGTCTCTGTTCAAACAACTAATTGGCACGCTCTGACCATGCACATAGCCTGAGCTTGATTCCGCCGCCGCTAACCCGCCGCTGTTTCCAAGCACAATGTTCACCAGGAACAGAGGAAGGATATATTTTCGGCAAAGGGAGGAAATTCCTGGCGGCTGCGACGACATTATAGACACTTGCGGGATAAGGTTGGAGAGCGGGCTCTATATGGAGAATAATGCAACTGTGTCAACCACGGCGCTGGGCCAGACTATGCGCCAGGAAGCGCAGCTATCCCATTGATTGGCTGTAAATGTACGCGGGTCTTGGATCGTTTTGACGCCCAACAGGGGATCATCGAGAGGGATGGTGGAATAGGGGTATGTATATATATTTATATATGCTTTATTATTTTGGTTTTATATTTATTACCATTTACTGCCAAACGTCAACTAAGTTACAGGCGCAATAGAGCTTTGAACCTCCATCCACGCTGTGGTTAAAAGGATACATAGAATGTCAAAATAACTGGTTAGATTTACTTCCTGAACATTTTCCACGTCGTTGTCGTTCTCTCCGCCATCAAAGAATAACTTCCCATGTGTCAAATTGCCAATAACGCCTCAGTTTTTTTTGAATATATCCCAGATCTCACATCGGTTTATATTCCATTTGCCCCATGTATACCACCATGCCGCGCCGTCTTATCTACAGAAGCGAGGCCTTCTTCTTGTACGCAGCGATCAATCCGCTGGTCGAACCATCATGATTAGCTCCAGCGCCGGGAGTCTCCAGCTCCTTCTGAATATTTTTTGCCAGAACCTTCCCAAGTTCCACGCCCCACTGGTCAAACGAGTTGATGTTCCACACTGCACCCTCGGTGAAAGTGACATGTTCGTAATAAGCAATGAGCGCACCGAGAGTACCAGGTGTGATCTTCTGCGCGAGGATGGAAGTCGTTGGCCTGTTTCCTAGGAACGTCTTGTGTGGGACGAGGTTCTCCGCGGCGCCTTCTGCCTTGACCTCTTCGGGTGTTTTGCCTACCATTAGGGCTTCGGCTTGGGCGAGGAAATTAGATGCAAGCATCGTCTGGTGCTTGCCGCCCTCGACGGGGTTATGCGATTGCGCTGCAAGGATAAAGTCTGTGGGAATGAGCTTCGTGCCCTGGTGAAGGAGCTGGTAGAAGCTGTGTTGCGCGTTGGTGGCAGGTTCGCCAAATAGGATGGCCCCCGTGGTGTATTTGACATAATCTCCGCTGCGGGTGATGGCTTTGCCATTGCTCTCCATGGAAAGTTGTTGAAGGTAGGCGGGGAATCGATGCAGGTATTGATCAAACGGGGAAACCAGGTGGGTTTGGGACCCGAAAAAGTCACTGTACCAGACACTCAGCAGTCCTCCGATAACAGGTATATTCTTCTCGAGGGGGGTTTCCCGGAAATGTTTATCCATGGCATAAGCGCCTGCGAGAAACTCGTGGAAGTTATCGAAACCGATGTAGAGAGCAATTGACAGGCCAATTGCACTCCAAACGGAATATCGGCCTCCAACCCATGATTCGAAGCCGAACATGTTCTTCTTATCGATGCCAAATTTTGTGACTTCCGCTTCGTTCGTGGAGAGTGCCACGAAATGTTTCGCAATGTGACCAGGATCCTTTGCGGTTTTCAGGAACCAATTCTTGGCGGTGTTGGCATTGGTGATTGTTTCTGCTGTGGTGAATGTCTTTGAAGCGATCAGGAAGAGAGTAGTCTCTGGGTCGGAGTTCCTCAAGGCTTCAGCGGCATGGGTGCCATCAATGTTTGAAACAAAATGGACTGTCAGATCCCGATCAGCATAGGGCTTCAACGCCTCCGTTACCATGACAGGACCTCTATAGTAGTGTCAGAATATGTGTGACTTTTGAATTGACTTTTGAATGCAGGGGATTTTCACAGGATTGCAATTAAACCCGTATTTTGGCACTTACAGATCCGACCCCCCAATCCCAATATTGATGATGGTCTTGATCCTCTTTCCGGTATACCCAGTCCATTTGCCGCTTCTCACCTGCTCAGAGAACTCTTTCATATGGTCTAGGACGGAATTGACTTCTTCCACGACGCTCTTCCCGTTGACCTGCATGGGTTCGTTGGCCACATTGCGCAGGGCAACGTGGTACACTGCCCGATTCTCCGTGAAATTAATGGGCTCGCCATTGAACATCTGGTCACGAAGCTTTTCCACGCCGGCCTCTTTGGCAAGGTTTATCAGTAGGGCGAGGGACTCATCTGTGACAAGATTTTTGGAGAAATCGAAGAGAATCTCAGATTTGTCCGCGGTGTTATTGAAGGAGAAGGAGAATTTCTGGAAGCGGTCGGGATTCTTCTGGAAGAGGTCCTTTAGAGCAATATTGCGGCCTGTGGTAGTGTAATGCTCCTGAAGAGCTTTCCACGCATTGAGATTGCTGGCCTCTGAAAAGCTCGCCATTGCTGAATGTTTTGTAGGTGAGTGTTGTTACAGAGGTAACGTGTTTGCGGGGTGCGGGTCAGGATGGAGACGCAGAAACTGAACTGCCTCCAGCAATTGAAGTGCGCAAAGACGGAAATGAAAACGAGGGAGAATCCGCTCAATCTCTGCGCTGGGTGAAGGTGTTGTCAACAGGTTGAGGAAGAAAAAGTTCTGGTGGGGCAAGCGGCGGCTTTGATACTGCTACGGTGGGACGGGTGACAAAGGATGCAATGATGGCGGGGTTGTGGTTCCAACAACAGTGGTTACCACCTTGGAATCTCATTTCCCTTCCTCACCACCAACGGCAACAATGTCTGCTTAAATAGATACGGATTCCTACGCCGCGTGCTGTTGGCATGGGCAATTGGGCTCTGAGCCGGGTGTTCCGCGGTGATGCAGGATGATTAATAAACATGCTGCCCACTTCTATCCGACTCTTGATACACTAGGAGCGACAGCTGATGTTTTGATTCTGCACCGTGTTATAACAGAAAGACTTCTAAGGCTCAGCGAATTGTCTTACTGGCGATCCTCAGACAACATGAATACGCTTTTGTCTTGAAGTTACCAAAGCGAAGGAAAATGAAAATTTCTCTCACCCAGGATAAAATCGCAAGAAGGGCGCCAGCGGGTAAATATCCCCGGTCACTGTCCAGAGCATGTATGGAGATGGACCCACTGGGGAGGCTGTCAAGAGAAATCCGCTTGATTACTGTGAGAAATGACCCATTATTTTTTATCCGGGGGCTAATATTTCAGTCTGTATGCATGCGTGGTGCATTGAATCATCAGTGTGCTTTCAAACCCTTGCCGTTAAGTCTGTCTCATTGTTGAGGCAAAATAAAATGAGCCCCACATCTGCTTGCAAGCAATTTTGACCTGTCACTATGAGAAGGAGGGGGCCAGCAAGAGGTCTCATTTCGCGGCTCCAGTCTAAGTGAAGAACATCTACTCCATATGCCCAATACAAAAGATGGTAGCATTCGTGGGGATAAGGATTATCTATCCGTATATGCCTCGATAGACATTGAGGGGCTTCGCCCAGCGTCGCCTTAAATCCTGAGCCCATCTATATTCTTCTCTCTTCCTCGCTGATCTGCAAATCAGGCGTCAGTGTCGGCATATTTCTCTCAATCGATGATTTTGGTGACCAGACTTGGTGAGTCAATGGGGCAAAATAGGAACGGAATTCTACAGGCAGTCTGGAAACATTATACGGGGTGGAAGGTTTTTGTCAACCGTTTGGGATTGTCGCGAGGATTCAAGCGAAAGAAGAGAAAACTCGATAAAACTATTTCCCAATTCCACTGAAGAAAGTAACTCCGAAGACCCGTTCTGCCATCATAACATTAATACCCGAGCCAACAATAACCTCAATAGGAACCAGGTCTTTTGCGGCCTCAAATATTGTAAACGACCCCATCATACGGTCGTCCCGTCGTTGCTTCCACGCAACCAAGATCGTGTTGCTGTCTCGCATCTCCAGTTTCTGATTCCCCATACACCTCGGCGCCGTATCGTCCAAACGATCAAGGATTCCTGGACCCTTTCCGTACAAACTCCATTGCGGGGGGTGTTGGTGGTGGTGGTGGTGGTGGAAGAACCTGGTACTAAGAGCCAAACCGGTATCGCTTCCCCCATCTTATATTGTCTGTTCCACCCACTGCGAGTGATTCTCCACCTCCTCGATGGGAGTCTTACGTCTCTATTTTCTACAACATCAAGGTGGGCCTTCATACTAATGAAACCCTGCCACCACCTCGGGCAGAAATTCACAATCCGGGCCCCCAATATCCCTTCACAGGCTCTGGGGACGCCAGCGCTCGATACTGGATAAATGCTAAATAGTGGCGGGAGCACGGATAAGACGTCTACCCAATACATATCCGTCATAACGAAGGAAGGGAAGTGGGCGCCGTTGGCTGCATTGTAGATCATGAGTTGAAGGTTGAGCGGCAGGATCAAGCCGAGCGCGCTGGACTTTCCGACTTGGAACTTGCGGTATATGGCTGGTCTGTTGGCTATCTCGACATTGCTTGAGGCACCTTGCGGTCTACGTGGGCTCCCTTGTGCACGTTGTCTGGGTAGTTGTAGGAGACTTCCTATTGTGCGCTGTCCGGGACAACTTCGATGTTGCTGGCAGATGGCTCTTTGTTGCTGCCGTCGTTTGTGAGGCGATTGTGCAACCCTTTTTCTGTACCCGGAGCTGGTTCATTTATTTCGAGGCCACCTGAAGCATCCGGGTTTTTACCGTTCTCTTTTGCTTGGAAGGGGCATGTAGATTTCATTTTCACTTTTTTGTCTCAAAACATTCTCTGCAGGTTCACAGAGTAATGAGCCAATAACTTATAGGTTTGCTTTCGAGCGATATAAATAAGCTGCCGTTTTCGAGTTTCTTCTGACCCTCTCTCATAGTCCCCAGATAGCAGGCAAGTCGATTCGTGTCGATCAACTTTCTAACTATATAAAGAAACATCAATGAGCAAATTGCACTCTAGCTAGCACCTTCTAGACTCCGATCTAGAGTGAAAACTTATTATTAGTCTTTGGCGAACGTGGTAACTAGCTATATTAACAGTTGGGGCTTATGTACATAAATACAAATAACAGGTTAATCACTGGATCAGATATGGATGAGAAAAGCCAATGAAAGTGCTATGATCATCAAAAAATGAGATCCCAATTCAATTTAAAAAGCCGCTGGGGGGAGATGGGCCGGCCGGACCGTGGCAAGGGCAAAACCCCGTCGAAGAAGAAGATGATGGATGCAACTGCTTGCGTAGTAGGACAGATTCTCTTCCACTTCCCCTTCCGGCCTGTGCGGATCAGCGCTCAATAATAAATCTCCCCCACCCCACTCTGTTCTGCAAAATGGAAATGTACTTGACTTTGATTCGATGGAGGTGGTGATATGGCATGCATGATATGTGGAGAACTTTTTCATGGGCGTTTTTTTTTAAATCGAATTCATCATTAGTTTGGACTACGGAAAACCTTTCGACTTTTTTTTTTTTTTTTTTTTTTGTTGTTGTTTTTGGCTAGAGTGTTATTGGAGCGCTGCTGCTTGCTCTAAACATAGTTATTCAGATTCAGAGAGTATCTAAAATACAATCGCACATCCGCCAATTGCTGAGCCCGCAGCGTGATTTATTTCGTTGAAAAAAGAAAGAATGTAAACCGGAATCAGACAAAGTACAAATCCCATGGCGGCCAAGAATATGCAGGCACCGGAAAAGGCCCGGACAGAATTGATAACCCGGGAATTCCCATATATAAGAGCCATGATATATTCCAGATGTGGGATTTCCTCGGGGCATATTCAAAGCAAATATCACAAGCAAGTTTGCTGATGAGAATCCTACTATATGCAGAGCGCGTAGTCTTGGGCGGAGGAACACAGAGAAGGGACGTGTACTTATATGATACCAAATGGTTTACAACAGATTTTGAATGAAGCTGAGGAATCCGAGAACAGCAACGGCGCCAGTAGCGACCTCCGCTGAGATGGCCCCATTACCGTACACCGGTGGACTCGCCGATGGAGGTTGACTTGGGAGAGTGCCCGTTGGATAAATTTTGTTGTTAGATGCGGTGTTAGCTGCGGTGCAGACAGATCGAGATGGGGAGGCAGTTGGGTAGATCGGGGTTATAGTAGCGGCAGTGGGAGCCGTAGAGGGAGTAGCCGAAGGTGATATGGGATACTCGGATGGGGTCTCGTCCGCAGGAGGCTCAGACGGCGTCTCGGAGGGGGTGTTGGCGGGGGTAGACGCAGATGGCATGGCAGTGGCGGAGGGAAGAAAAGGGGGCAGGTTGCTCATGCCTAATTTCTCAAGACAAGCTTTGGGCCCAAGGTCCTACAAGGAACGGGTTAGTTCCAATCTTGTTATGGGAATGATTCTCCTAGAATATTGATTGAGATGCGAGTGAATCGAAATGTCAGGGAAAAACATACATCTGGGCAGCAGTAGCCATCAGTGAGGCAGCCAGAACCGCTTGGGCAGGAATCTAGGTGAATCAAGTTAGCTGATATTCTCGCTCGCGATACGTTATAGTGAGAGGTGACATGCATCCATCGCAGCATGATTGCCCGATATTGGGATTGAAGCAAATTTTGCCTGTTGTTCCACATTGGACGTAGCCAGCGCCGAAAGCATCTTCGCAGGTTTCGCCAGAACCATTGGTTTGGTCTGGCTTAAATGATTCTCCACCTTGGCGGGCTCTCAGGAAGCGGAAGCTATCAGCAGGAGAAGTGTCGATGCGCGTCCATGTGTTGGTGGCCGCAGCGCTGCTCGCAAGTAATGCGGCAGCAGCAAAAATTTGAGTGCGCATTGTCGGGCGTGATCAAGAAAATAACTTCCACAGTGTTTTCCTCTGGCTTCGACGTGAATGAATAATGAATGACAACAAGTGCTTTAACGAGCGACCGGATATAGATATATCCTTTAGTTGAAGGCAAAAAGGAGTGAGATAAAAAATGAATGGGTTGGGAGGAGCCAAGGGAAATAAGGAGAAATTGGGGAGCCTTTTCCAATATAAGGGGCATCGCTCCATTCACCTAGCCTTCATGCGGAATGACACAAAAGAAAGCCCACCACAACCTTGAAAAGGCGGAAATAATGTGACTGCTGAGAGAAGCCAATAGTCAGGGATTCTTGAAAGTTCATGCCGAAATAATATTCCAGGGTGGGATGTCATGGCGGGGATATTGCAGACAAACGGCTCGGCCCTTCGCAGACAGCGATACGTCTGCTTACATTTTTTAGTAGGCTGAAAGAATTTGCATCTTTCGATCAAAGACAGTCGCCATACTGCGAGAGACGCCGGACTCCCACAGAGCTGCAGGCATACAATAAAAGTCTCAATAAACGGGCTCGGACCACCGTCGCATAAACCAGAACAACTAGCGACTTGTCCCTACTAGTCCGCACGCGGGAGCTTGTCGCGCCCAATCATAGATTCCCAGGGCAAAGGAACGCAATTTCCTCAGCACAGGACAAGAGATCTTCTAACCTCGTAGGAACCAATGGGGCCACACTTTCGTATGTCGTGTCGCTCCTTATAGCACGCCAAAGTTCGATTGGCCGATCGACCAAATGGAAATAATCAAGGGCCAAGCGATAGAAGCCAGCCAGGAGATAAAAGCGCCAACTCGATTGCGCTTAGCTGAATAGGCACTGGCTTCATAGTTTTGCATTTCGTATTTTTGGAACTATTGAGTTGGATTTCCACAATTCAATATCTCTCTGCGCTGGAGGCGTGGAACCCTATTTGATCTGTAGGTGTAGGATTCATGATCCGTTTAACCTTGCATAACTGCTAGGACCGACTCACTCTCTCATCTTTTTCAATTTGCCTAATATTAGCTTGGTCTGAAACGTGCTTCATATGTTTGCAAACGGATCGGTGTTTCGAACTTCACATTTAGCGCATTATTACCTTGCTGCCGGAAATATAACCATCAGCAATGGGCACCTTAAATTAGCTCATCATACTCCGTAGTTATGGTCACCTTGCAAATGCAAACTAGGACCCGCCGCCCCGTGCTCATCAGCTGGGCGAATGTCTATATCGATCAGCAGCACTCACTAGCAGAGTCTATCAACTAGATATTTAGAAGATATTTTTCTAAATCACTTTCAATGATTAGCATATACTTGCATCTATGCGAATAATGAAGTAATTACGGAGTACAGATCTGTACATTGTCAAAGGTCTTAGAAAAGAAGCTGAACTCTCTATGTATGTACTGTACGTTTTGTCAAGTTCAAACAATATTGAAGGTCAGCAATCTGCCATGGTTAGAAAATTCGATTCTCCATTTCTTACCAAGTTCAACGAGAACCGATCAGCAACTTGCTCTCGAGATTTGGGGCGGAGGAGTTCGGGAAGGCATGGTCATACTCAATACTCCGTAGACGCTAGGCTAGAAAGGCATGTTTTAAGACGAGGTATCAAACAGCTAAACAGCCAAAGAAGCTTGATCTAACGTCGAGAGTCTGTTGTGCGAAGCTGGCTGGAAGTTCCATACGCTGCGTACATAGCTGCCGGCTTCTGCTGACTGACATGACATCCATACGGCGTATGCCAAATCGGTGCTTAAACGACATGCCATTCTTGAACGTGACAATGGTTTATCAACGCTGGTATTAATACCTGGAGGAGCTTGTCTGGTATTGATTTATTAATTTAAAGGATCTGCATAACGAGGTGAAATAAGTGGTCGTCCAAGAAATTTGGCTCCTGTGGAGCCAAGCCGCAAGCCGAATATTGTAGGAAAATCTCACCATTGTCAATCAACGATCACTATCACAACAAAGCTCGATTATTGTGGCGATCGAATTGCTTGCGAAAACAGGAATCTGCCCAGCCACCCTGAATATTAGTAGCAAAACACTGCAAAAATAGCCATTCTATCCATGTTTTTCTATAATCATTCAAATAATGTCAAATCAACATTCAAATCATTCAAATAACGCGTTTTTCATACCTTTATCATCAAATCTTTTTCAATATGCCTCGCAACGCCCGCCGCCCTGCTGCTTCTACCGCCTCGCAATTGTGTAAAAAGAACCCTACCCTACACCTCAGTCTCCCCAAACTACCTGAGCCCATGCTAGTGCCGGATAATGAGATGGAGGAGGTGGAGGAGGTGGATGAGAATGATATTGAGACTCAGTCAGAAGATTCTCAATATCCACTGCTTATCTCTGAATAAATCCCTATCTCTGAGCCAGTCATCTCATATAGATTGTATGAATGTGTGGTTATTAATGGGATAAAGAAATCAAAGACTAAATATCAGACTGTCACAACAGATGATCCAATTGTCAATCTTTATTTCATTCAATATACTGTCAAAAAAATGACAGAAGAGTTTGTTGTAAAGCAGAATTGTAAAAAAATGAAAATTACAAATTATATAACAATCATTTCATTAAATAAATATGAATCTCCTTTCAAAATCAACATTGACAAAGAGAAGAATTGATGAGAGATTATGAATCTTTTAAAAAAGTTGTATAAAAAGAAGATAAATGATTTTACTGTTGAAATTATCACATATTTCAATTTTTTTGATATATCAATTTTATTTTCAAACATATCTGCAATACACAGTTCTACAGCTTTTGTTGAAATATCAAAATTACAATTAAAAACTTAGATTTGAATAGTAAAAAAAACTCTTGATTTTGAATATAAAAATGAAGCAATTTTATCATCTTACAATTCTCATCATTGTAATGTGACGGCGCCGAGGCGGTTGCTACTCGGCAGCGGCACAGAGGAGGATGGTATATAATGGGAAGCCTTATGGGTGGGCTTGATTATCTCGCTTGAACCGCGAACTCGTAGAATACTATACAAATACTGAACTACCAGAGGTACTCGGCACACTAAGAATATTGTATGGGGACAGTGGTAACTCTGGTATCTTATTGTCAAAAGATAAAAGACGAATCGCTGGCTCCTGGAATAGAGAGCCAGCATCTAGCTATTCTATATAGACAACGGGCAGCCATCCTCCCCTCACTCTATGAGCGAGGGTAGCCGAAGCAACTCCGCAGTGGCGCTGCATTGATCTGCCAGAAGGAATCTACTGACCCCGTATAGAAACAGGATTCTCATATCCCATTAATCGAATCCTCTTCTATTGCATCCGAATGATGTCATAGGGTGGTTGGAAACCGGTTCGGACACCTGCGTGACGTCATGGGATAGATGGGATTATCCGAGGGGAAGCGATGGGCCGTGTGGAGCCGTCACGGGGCCTTGGCACAACCAAGGGTGTGACACATATGTAATGACTCATCTAAAGCAGAATGTTCTTGATCTTGATCTCCTCTGTGGATTTTTTGAGCTCACCAACTATCAGAATATCTCTTCAGTTGTGTTTGTTTTATGAAAAAGTATTGTTTTTAACTCACAAAAGAAGATTGACTTGCTGTTCTGTCTTTAAATCAATAAGATCTGCTTTGCTCACTGTGATGTAGTAAATGCTACATGAGTCTGAGAGAAGATTTTCTTGAAAATGAAACCATCAGATGAGAACATTGTTCTGTATAGAAGAATTGAGAAACTGAGCTCAATTATCATCACTGATTGAAATCAGCATGTGTTGACAAATGACATCTGCTTTGCAGCTTCAGTTCTTCTTCTCAAAATATTTCTCAAAAAAGCTTTCAATATTTCAAAATATACAGTCATGTATCTTCTTGAAGATTTTTGAATTCATCAATTCAAATGTCTGCTCGGAACCTTTCTGCAATGATGAGGTGGATTTGACTGAAGTGCTGTTAAAAAATGAGAAAACGCTCACTGAAGGAGTTGTTCATCAAAGAAGGATGTTAATGAGAGTAAATACAGCTTTTCAGATATCAAAGTTTCAAAGTTCGGCATTCTGAGATTCAGTGGGAGGTCTTTGAATAATCAGATACATCAGTGAATGATAGTCATTATATCTAAAGCTTTCTTTTGTCTTTTGAAGGTGCTTGAATAACTGTGCTAGATCAGATGCTATATTTCCATCATTTATTCATGATGAAAGGCTGTAGACTGCACCCTCTCTCTGTAATGTATAGACAAGTTTTGAAATCACATTTTGAAACAGTTGATCAAGGCTATCAATGACACCATTGTAGAAAATTAGATGCAACTCATATATTCTTTCAGCTTTTTGAAGTGTGTCTTGTAAACAGTCAATTAAATTGGTTAGAGGATGATTTTTGATAATGATGCGATCTTCTTGTGAAAGTCCTGCCATTTTGATGGTATAAAAGACTGTTGAGTTGATGTGAGATTAACTAGGAGCTGGTAAGGGGAAAAAAATTAGATTGGTATGCTAATATTATGTGATGGAAAGCAAACAGGGGAACAAAAATGCAGAATTGTTAGGAAGTTATGATCTATGATACTCTGCAAGAGAATATAACTCACTAGGAAAAGATGGTGATATATATAATCAAAGGAAGGATTATGGTCAAAGGGTTGATCCGGCTTGGCTTTGATGCACAACGCGAATGTGGGAACGGATAGAACCGCTGAGCAAGGAACCAGGTGAAGATGAATCCTACAGCATAATTATTTGATCGCGATGGAATGGTAATAAGCGCGAACAAAACAGGGGGATTGAAATTGTATTTTGAGGAAGGTCGGCTATTCCCATTTAGAATTAATGTACACCACCCACTATCACCATCCACCCCTTCAATCTTCTGTCCTGTCATTTCCCTTCTGTTTGCCTCTGAACCCGGCGCAGTTCGTTATTCCATAACATGTTGGCAGGCCGCAGGTCCTTATGCACCACTCCCAGCATACAGATTTCCCTCTCCGACATGGAGATTTCATCATTCAGCGTTGAGAATTTGACTTTGTCTATACTCTCCCCGGCCCAACCCATGAGAAGCATATGGCGGATGTCCCCAGCACCATGGAGAAAAAGGATCAGTTTCAAATCAATCATCCCCAGAAATACAGAGACAGCAGAACCTTGTGCTTTCTGAAGAACCTGGTATATTTCTGCTTCATGTGAGACATGTTTCCATAGCCCGGGGTCAACTCTCCACAGAGTTGTACCACGCCGTTTCCGCTTCTCATTTTTCTGGCGATCACGAGTGGGGTGATAATACACAAATTCGGGTTCATGAATCGTTAAGATAATAGAAACATGGAGTAAAGAACAATATGATGCTAATCTATGGGCCTCTGAGAGAAGATTGGGATACAGCGCATAACATTTGAGTGCAGGTAAGCGTTTTTTTCCATATCCAGTGGGCTTTATTGCTGACGGTTCAGCAAGGTACGTTGAGAATGAGTATAATGAATGAAATGAATGGGAATTGACATCGGGTTATTGAGATTGTTGATTCCTTGCCGTGGCTGTCCGTGAGATAAAATCAGACGCGGAAGACAAAGTGACTTTCTGAAACCCAATTGTCATTGCTGATTGATGTGTAATTCAGATACGAGTTGCTGTTACTGGATTATCTAGACCTAAACATTCGGATCTTTCCAGCTGTGTAGTTCTATTCTTAGATGTAAAAATTAAAAATATGTGAAATTAATTGGTGAAATAAAAATAAAAATATATTTGGACAGTTCAATTCACAGGCAAAAAGAAGAACAATTTGACAAGAAGGCAACAACACCTTCAGACTGTCTCTCAAAGGCCCGTTTCCAACTCTGCTCAGACGCTACTCTGAACGTCTGACCCTGTTGTCGTAGAGATATGCCCAGTCCAGCCACTGTTATTACAGGGTCGTTTTATGCCCTTCTGATGGATTGACCTTTTCAAAGATCCAACCCGCCTTTTCTTCGGGCGCCGGTCTATATCGGACCGGTGAAAGTCTATGATCAGAACCCGGCGCAGTTCATTATTCCATAACATGTTGGCAGACCGCAGGTCTTTATGTACCACTCCCAGCATGCGGATTTCCCTCTTCGACCTGGAAATCTCACGACTTAGCACTTCCTTGTCTTTGACGTTCTCTATACTTTCCCCCGCCCAACCCATGAGAAGCATGTGGCGGATGTCCCCAGCACCATGGAGGAAAAGGAACAATTTCAAATCAATCGTCCCCAGAAATACAGGGACAGCAGAACCTTGTGCTTTCTGAAGAACCTGGTATATTTCTGCTTCACGTGAGACAACTTTCCATAACCCGGCTGTTGTCCCCTTTCCAACAAGAGTGTAGCCATATGCAGCACAAGTGATCTTGAAGGGTGCACCATATGATCCACAAGTCCCAAATGGTGTGCAGTTATGATCAAGGTCACGATTGAGCTGTTCATTCAGCATTTGCACAAGCTTCCTTGCATCGATACAATGTCGATGATCATTCTGACCTCGCCGGTGGAGAGAAACATTAGGGCATTGATGGTCCAATTCACCTCCTTGTTGCAAACCCAATAAGCATCGCTGTGTACAGTAACGTGCCGTGTGTTGGCTCTGGCCGCTCGATGGCCTAGGACCTGCTGGGCGCGCCGATGAACGCTGGTTGGGCGGGGAGGACATCACTTGGCTGAAGCCCCGCTTCCGGCCGTGCGCTGCTTGGTTAGAGTCGGAATCGGAAGAATCCATACGATCATTCAAAGGCGAGGTATCCATTGGTGCACAGGTGGTTTGAGATCGGGTAGAAACTCGACGGCCGGGCTGTAATGGAGACGATGGCAGATGTTCAGAGGGCATATATTCCGAGCTTGCATATTCCGATCCTGGAGGAGTTTGTTGCAGCTCGTCATCAGGGATTTGCGACCGTGTAAAGTCAAAACTTGTTTTCCATATATGGAGTTGGGATCTTGCAGCATTCCGCCACTTCTGATCACGGATATCCGAGAGAAAAGACATCAGACAGAGACATAATATTCTGGCAATAGCTGTTTTTGACTGATAAAAGACCCCAGGATTTTCTGAAATCACATCCATGTTTGGTTCGCAGAGATAGTAATAGAGTGTACTAGGGTCGCTGTATGGCACACGAAGAAGAATGATAGCAAATCCATTAGTTATATAGGAGTACTCCAGTCCAGCTTGGATCATGACATGATACTCCTGAACCAAAACTGAGCAAGTCAGCTGTTCCGCATTATATCTCAGCTTTTCATCCTTGTTCAGCTCATCACTCTTGGGGATTGTGTCTGACTGAACAATCTCTTCCCAGAGCTTCATCGATCGAAGACCCGCTCGGAGATTTTCAACCGAGAGCTTGTGTGGCGGCTTATACTCGACTGTTGTAATCAAAGTATTCGTGGAATCGTTGATCCGATGAATACAGAATGAATCCGGTTTGGGATGTTTTGTGCTGGATTCATCAAGCAGCTGTACATCTGACTCTTCTGATGTCTGTAGAAGATTTTCATGATTTTCAAACAGAATCCCATCTCCAAGCCGGAATCTCTCTTGAGCATCAGGTATTTTGCATAGCTCGGCTATGATATCATGGACATGATCTTCCACAGCGGTTCGCTCGTAGTGTTCCAGATCCTTTTCACTTCGTAGTTTTCGACTAGAATACCGCCGACCAAGTTCATTTAGCACAAGAAGAGATGTGAAGAGTCGAGGTGCATCTCTTCCAGTTGGTTGCAGGTAAGTGGAAACCGCATCATAAATTTCTTGCAGTTGAGCCGGGCAGTTTGACCAAAAGCAAAGACTTGTTGGGCAGTATTTCCCAGTGGGTGGTGGAATACTCCCCTTCGTGGAGCGGGTTGGCGTTCCAACCTGCAAAGGCTGGGAGAATGAATCATGACAACCTTTGATGAGCTCTTCTAGTGTTGTCGGCTGATTGCGCACTCTCTCCTGTGATTCCCGCTCCTCTGCCTGCCTTCGCAACTCTCCTTCGTGTCTCTCTCGCTCTTCTGCCTGCCGTCGCAACTCTTCTGCCTGCCGTCGCAACTCTTCTGCCTGCCGTCGCAACTCTTCTGCCTGCCGTCGCAACTCTTCTGCCTGCCTTCGTTCCGCTTCCGCTTTACGGTAGAGAGCCTCGTAATCTGGTGAACTGCGATCAGCCATTAGAGAGAGATAAAGAGTTATATCAAAAAGCGAAATGGGTACGAGAAATATAGTGGCGTAGAGATAGGCGATAATCCTGTAGGTGGTGGGGAGAAGCGAAATAATGCCAGTCATCCCAAAATAACACGGATCAACCTTTGCCCGTCACATGTTAGTGTTTACAATTCATTTTGACTGCACAATTCATTCTTAGATCGAAGGGTAAACTGATGCGGCATAATGGGTTGCTTGTCGCATAGCTTCGATCACCCAATAACCCATCCACGTTCAAGTTCAAATTTCGCAATAAGCAAATACGTCGTTAAGAGGATCGAGCCTTGAAATACTGTTGAGAAATACTGTCACAATTCTAAATTAATCAGAACTACAAATAATAAACAAACTATAAATTTTGTGCATAGTAGATGACTTCAATGAGGCATCATCACTCTCTGTTTAATTTTCTATCAGTTTAAATGTTGAGAGGGAAATAGACTTGGAAAATATTTGCACTTACCAAGCAGATCAGGCATTGCAGATGTATTTTGTTTGCGCTGGCAAAATTTAATATGACGTTTCATATGTTTTGCATCTTTCAACTTCTGACATAGCTGACAATACTGTCTCTTGCCTCTGACACACTCATGATTTTGTGGAACTGTTTTGTTGCAATTCTCACAAGTACAGTGCTGCGCAATAAGTTTGAAACCATTGAGACCTCGTGTCAAAATCCACTAGTCCCAAAGGGGTTTAATGTTTGCACTGTTTATTGATGAATATGTGGGTAGGTGTATCCTTGCTCTCGAAGCTTGCATATAACAGAACGCAGTTGAGGGGTCAATTCCTTGCCCCGACCCATAGCAGATGATAGAGATGAAGGAACATAACTAGAGGAATGACAGCAGTATGAGGAAATAGTATGAGAAGGATATAAATGCGTCAGAATAAAGATGAAGCAGTTCCACCCACAGACGCGTTTTATTCTATAGATTAAAAATAGGGGGAAATGGGTGCATTTCAATATCATGTGACGCTATAACTACTACTAATTATCATGGGTTAAACCCCTTTGGGACTAGTGGATTTTGACACGAGGTCTCAATGGTTTCAAACTTATTGCACAGCACCTGTAATAGCCAACGATTTTTCTAGGCACTGATTCTTCACATGGTTGGAATAGTCCTTTGACCGGATAGTTTTCCCACAGAGTGTGCACTGTTTCCTTGGCGGGGCCATTGATAAAAGCTGATTTGAAAAACGATAGGTGGTGGTAGGATGGCGATGGCGATGTCGATGGCGATGGAGATGGAGATGGCGATGGTTATGATTTGCGAGCTAACAAACAGGAGCCCGGATAGCAACACCAGTGATAAGCTGACGACACATCTGCTTTCACCAATAGGGAGAATGCATTCTAAGCAATACCGATCACAGAAGAGTTCTCCACGCTAATAGCTATAGATTTAACATTGAAATTGTGTATTTCTTTTCGTTTTGATTTCTCCCTTATGGACCAGGGTTATATTCCAATATTAGTTGTCAAATTCCATATGAAACTTAACCTACGCGATGATCATCGATATCAATCAATTTTCACCCATACTACTTTTCTTCACCCAATCATCTTGTACGGTTCAAATAACCGCCAAGATAACATGCCAAGTAGAGGGCTACGGGGGCCCTCAACATGGGGTTTGAACCACGCCGAAAGTTTTTCCGGCCGAAATTTCGAACCGCTAATAGCGATGCGCAACATGTGAAATGAACATTTGGGAGTTGAAATTTGTGTAGGTGTTGTCAATAATATCTGTGAAATTGCCCGATATTGAGTAGAGAGGTAGGATTTGCAACCCTGATAGAAAATTTACTGGTGCTAACTGAATGTGCCTGGTGATCAATCAATAACTGCATATCTGAAGACTACCATAAGACAAATCATTGATTTAAATTCGAGATTCAAGAATATTATACATCAACCAGTGTTCTGCAACCCATGTAACCAGTGACGGAACCTCTTTCGCTTCCCATATTCGCTTTTCGGTTTCAACGATTGAGCGGCATGCATTGCCAACGACCCTCTATTCCATGAGTTCTCAGAATCGCCATATAACCGAAACCCCAGGCTTCACGCATTCCTATTCGGTATTGAAGTTCTAGTTTCACTTCACAATTTTTACATGTGTTGTCCAACGAGGCGGCACTGTCTTTCCAATATTCGGCGTATGATTGGATGGAGACCAGCTTTAACTTTGCTGAAGCTGCGTTGATATAGTCTATCAGCAATTGAGGCAAGGTGTCTTCGTACACTTCATCATTCGCCTCTTTCACGTAAAGACATTCCAATGTGGGGGGCAGATGATCGATTAGGGGTGATGGACGCGATACTAGGGATTCCGCCGGCACTTTGAGTCTGGTCAGGGTTGGCAGTGTGGCAAAGTTAAAGGTGGTTAGATGCACCACACCATGAAGGCGGTTAAGGCAAAATGACTTAAGGCTGCTCAATTGAGATAGCAAGCGTGCGACACTTTCATCCGCTGATGGCCTGATCTCCCATCCCGCCGCTTTCACCAATTCATCCAATTCATCCACCTGTCTGGTATCATCTTTTCTCAGATCACCGATCTCGAGCGTTTTGATATGTCCAGCCAGGGTTGAATCTTTATTGATCATTGCCGACAATTTTAACACATGGAAATATGCCTTCTTGGAGGCGTCCAAGTTGACGGTCTCATAAAGACATAGCTCAATCGAGAGGAAGGATTTGCAGCTACAGGCTAGATGTGCGATGTCTTTCATGTTCAGATGGCCCGCAATCTGCCGTTTCAGTTCAACGGGTAGTCTGGTGATATTTGCCTTCATGTTTCAATATCGTGGCGTCACCTGGAGAGGGACACTATAACAGCTCGTTGTTCAATCCTGTTTTCTCTTTGCTTTATGTGGCCGAGGAAATATTTTGACCAACTGAACAGGTAACCACACCGCAGCTATTGCAATTGTCCAGAAGGCAACACCAAACAAGATAAAAGGAAGGGTAAAAACTAGAAACCAGCTAAAACTCTTTTGAAACAGAGGCCAAGGAGCTGGTTGAGATTGGGATTCTGTGATCCCATGCCGGATAGCGTCGTTTCCGATGTGTGGAGAGAATAAGAGGATGGGAGAAGGGTGGGTGCAAGGCCTCTCTTTATGGAGTCTAGTGAGAGACACAACAATGTCCAGAGTGTAAGCCAGCCTTACCTTGACTGTTTCCTGCCTCAGGAACTCGGATTGAGCCCCTGGAATTTGTTAGCATGGAACAAATGGTTCGGATCTTCACTTCGCCCAACCAAACTGGGGATCAATATGTGCATGGCCGTCCATACCCAATAAGCCACGAAGATATAGAAAGGCTGACGGAATTTGTTTATGTACAGTTTACACCATTCATTTACATTCTTCAGTAGCATTTCCAACAAGCAATGACCTAATCACTCTGAGTGTGTTGCTTGGAGATTTGAGATCACTTTGAGTGAGTTTGAGATTTTATTGATAAGACGCATTAATATGCACTAAAACAGGTCATCCTCCGACAAGTCTGCCTCCAGTTGCTCCTTGCTTTCTTCACAAACAGCTTCTAAATCACGCATCTGTTGCTGAAGGTACTGTACCCCTCGATGAAGCTTAGCATCTTGCAATTGACGACATAATGAGCATGTGTACATGATCTGCTGTATATGTCTGTAATCTTCCCAGAAAGCGGCTATATGCCATCTGAACCCACCCGATTCCCCTGTTTCTATGCCTATACTCAAAGCGCACGTCGTAAAACCGGCCAGCTTTTCAAGCAACAAAAAAAGCTTGTGGAATTCAATGGAAAATTCTTGAAGATATTTTTGTATGTCACCAGTTGTCTTGGCGTTGTTAAGGTGCCGAAGAGGTTCCTCCAGGGTGCCAATATTTTCTTCAATATCCTGTCTCATTTGGAGTAACGCGCTATAGAGATCATCCAGGTTGGCAATATTTTGATCAATATCCCGTCTCTCTTGAGCAACAATATCGAGAGATTCCTGAATAAGATAAGCATTAAGAAACAACAAACTTACGGAAACAACAAACTTACAGAAGTGCTCAACTTACCATGATGGAAAGACAACTTGAAGCTGATTATATGCTCTTTATCGAAGTCTTGATCGACTTCTTCGTGGTCCTGAGGCTCCCGTGGATAACGATTTGTATTTTGCTACATGAGTGTGGATGAATATGGCTATTCTTATAGCTGCTCAGAGCCTCACAATTAATGACTAATTAAAAGATGCAAATGAGATAAGTGATGCTGCTCATCTGCTCTTCCTCGGCCGTTCTACTACAGAGAGATCGGGTAGCTACTGTATCTCCTTGTCTGAGTGAGGCACAATTAGCGTCATTTTCCTCGGCGCCTTTTTAGTCAATCACAAGTGTCCCTGTTCAGGATCCATGCGCAGTACTGGCACAAACGCCTCATTAAGACATTCTGCGGAATCTAAACTGTCGGAAAAATTGTTGATCTGAGAGCCCCCGAAAATACTCAGAAAGTTAAATTAAGTTTCTACAACACTAATGGAAGCATGCTGGGTAATACCCATGCCCAATATACGCATCCGATGTTGGAGGAAATTTTTAGCAGCTCACCCATTGATTCCTTGTATATAGTTTTTCCGCGTCAGCAATGAGGTGTTTGTGTCAAAACTGTGCATGGATCCTGGCAGAGGCACTTGGACATGGAGCGCTAATTATATTGCTCTACAAATGAATATCGGATATTACTCGTTTCCATTTTGCTTCAGGCTTGCATCAGGAGGAGATAAAAGAATGAAAAGGGAGAATTAGTGGTCATACATAGACTTAAAATATGCAGGCGGCATGGAAAGCCAAAGCCGGCCAGCCCCACACTACGTCATTCACTGCTGACTGACCATATGAAACGCAAAAGATCACCTGACTACATAATACTGCCATAAATTACCGCTCCATATTGGCCAATCAAAATATATCCAGTCGCAGCAACCCCGCCATCCCTCATTGTCGTCAGCAGAAGAAAAAAAGTATCAAAAACTTCTCAGGAAATTTTAGACCTCCCAAAGTCCCCTTTTCAAGCTTCGGCACTCACTCGTACGTGGGGTTATCGCATCCCTCACTAATGACAGAGGACGTCGGATTCGATCTTATTCCGTGTGATCCGGCGGATGAGACACTTATCGCCGCTGCAAAAGAAGAGTTTAAGGCTGAGTTGAGTGCGGCCAGCAAAGCTTCATCCAAGGAAGGATGGGTTCCTGTGAAAACTTTCGGAGCAAAATGTGATGAACTCTTCCATCATGGCGTGGATGTAAGTTTGCAATCCCGATCATAGTATAGCAGTTTTCTAACTGAAATGAAGTTGGCCAACAATACTTTCCTTGCTCGGCATTGCGGATCATACTTAGACGCACCCAAAGACACACTCGTTATCTCGATGGTGTCGAACGACCGACAGCTTCCTTTTTGGAAGTTAGCACCGGGAAAGGTCTTGATATTCAGACCGGTGGACTATGAGTTGTCGGAAGAGGCCGGTTTTCTAAGATATATCGAGGGCTCACACAAGATATCAAATATGGAGGAAGCTACCCGAGCACAGGAGAAAGGTATTCGAGTGAGGCTAGATCAGATGCTGATAATGGACGGAGATTCGGTTATACGATGGCCCAAAACAGGTGGAGGAATATGTATCTTGCAGGGAGTTCTGAAGAAGGCATAAGAGAGTCAGAATCGCGAGTTTTATCCTTTTATTGTTCAGGGCCTTTAGTACTTACCATAACTCCAAGTAACCCCGTTCAAATAATGTATGGGCGTTTGAGCTAACCTCGCTCGAGTTGAATAATGCCGAGCTCATTGTTGGATCGGGGTCGATCCGACTGAATAATGTCGAGCTCATTGTTGGATCGGGGTCGATCTGACTAAATAATGTCGAAGCCATCGTCGGATCAGCGTCAATTTCGACTATTGAACTTGTTGATTCATACTGGTTACGCCAAAAAAAAGCCGCTTCGTTCCCGGAAGCAGCGTAGTGTAGCTCAAGCGGATGATGAGACGTTCTAGTTGAATTTGGGTTTGTGGTACACTCGTTCTCATGCGGAGGATTGTATCCAAGAGCATGAGGGGGATGATTGTCCATGTTTCCGTTGCCGCCAGAATCCACTACTGGTGATATATTAAGCTGGGCGGAAGGTTCGGTAGTCCGTGGAACAAACCCATTGTCAACGGGTTGATCGAGGGCGCCTATATATATAATGTCAGCACAGACGGTATTGTGGATATAGTATCAGCCAAGACTGACTCTCTGCTACACCTCCATTCGACAAATCGTCAACGCCTAGTTGGTACACCGGGTTATTTTTGTCCACTTCTACAGGTTCCCGTGTTTGTGAATCTGCTATGTTTTCACAGATTGCATTTGGTAGACTCGCGGTGGTGAAAATTTGTGGTTCGCTGCTCTTTGTTTGGGAAAAGCTCTGTCCGAATTCGCTAGATACTCACCCATTCGGCTCCGGTATATGCTAATAAGGGGCATTTTTGTCAGCGAATACTAAGTGAGTTATCAGGTGTCCCTTGATAAAACAGGACAGGGCTTACATTTTGATCGCCATGTCCCTCGGCACGATTACCTTCATTGCGCTCAATTCTCCTTCTTTTTGTTCGATTGACAGAAAGATATTGTGAGGGATGGCACTTCTGTATCGCCAGCTTTCGCAGGCGCGATCCATTATTGTAGTTTTCTTGACATGATTCCCACCAATCGGAATATACTTCGGCATGTTCATATATTTTTCGATCCAGAAGACCCTCTATCAATGTAGGAAGCATCATGTAGGGAATCTCATGCCAACGAGAGCGGGCTAAAAGAAGTGCGGCAATCCCAGGAATGCCTGAAAGTGTTTGAATGACAAGTGACTTGATTCCTTCGCTGATCATCTTTCTCGCTGTCTTCTTGTCGATAATGCCACGTCTATTTAAAAATTTGTTGATGTTTTCTGTCCAGTCAGTTTTTTCGGACAGCACATTGACCTGACGAGCCACCTTGGACTGCTTAAAAGTAAGGCAATCCCAGGCCACAAATTCATTCGTCAATGATAGTATGCTCAAGGTCCGCTGGATTCGCATATTCATCGATCTCTTGCCCTTCGTACCATCACAAATGGTGAAGTCCAGAACCCGAGAATCTTCTACTGTAGATACTGGGTAACTGAAGTTCGAGGCGCCGTTCTCATAGGCTTTTTGAACTTCAGGAAGTTTCTTTTCAATGGCATCAAGCAGTTCTGTGACATGCTGAATCCTTTTCTCCTCTTTGCAACCAGTATCTTGCCTCTCCACTTGACGAATCGCGACATCACCAACATAGGGTTCGGTTCGGGCGTTCATACTGCCAACAACTGGTAGACTTCGGACCTCTTGGTCGTCGTGAACGGCGAGCAAACGGACTCGAGGGATGGGGGTAGAGTTCTGAGATGGGGCGCATGTTGGACCGCTATCTGGTTTGTAGCCCAACTTGTCGGATTTCCCAAGGAGGGATGCAGCTCTGGCTAATAGTTGACCAAGCTTGTCGCAATGCTTCTGTAGTGATGCGTCGGACGCATTGCAAATAGTATCCAGAGCAGCTAAAATGGCAGCCATGGAGTCTTGATGAAGATGGGCATGAAGTTTGAAGCTGCTCACAAGCTGCAACAACCTCATTTCCCCAGCTTGATCACATGATTGCCAAGGAGGCCCTCCGCTAGTTTTGGATTACAACTTGCTGGAATGATTGGACGTTAGTTTTAGGAGTGACCCTGGAAAGACGGGGCAGATACTATCAAGAGTTATGACCCTTAACGAACGGATCAAACGGGACGGGGAACAAGCCGCATTTTCATGGTAGAATGATCCGATAGTACTTAGGCGATGGTACATGACCCGCTACCAGATATAGAGACCCGGACCCGCGGCCCATACCAAGGCTGCTGTCTCCAATTCAGTTGAGCCGTAATTTTTCTCGCTGCCCTTTAACGTCCGGGAGAGAAAGAGAACAGAACGTTCCCTGCCATCATTATCCTTCTGATGAATTGCTGCTCCCATACCATCTTTGCTTCCATCTACGTAGGCGATGAATTCCTTGTAGAAATTGGGAAACTTGAGAATGGGGGAATCACATAACTCATTCTTGATTTTTTGCCAACATTGCTGCAATTCTTCTGTTGAGGCGATCTCCTTCTTAGCCCATTTTTTTCTGGGATTTCCCTTGAAAGGTGCCTGGTGGAATCCTTGAGTCTTCCAGATCTGCAATGGCTCTACCTTGTGAGCGTAATGCGCGACAAACTCTCGGTAATACCCAAATAACCCTAAGGAGGTCTCCAATTGATGAAGAGTTTTGGGGAAGGACAATTTCCTGATGGCTTCAACTTTAGATTCATGTGTTGAAAGTCCTAGACGGGATACTTTGTGGCCTAGAAGGGATACTGATGAGTAGGCAAAATGACACTTCTTGATGGAGAGGGTTAGGCCAGATGCCTCCAGGCATGAGAGAATTGCTTGCAGGTCCGAGAGGTGTTGATTCAGTGACTTGGAAAATATCACTATGTCATCGATGTAGACGAGAAGGCTGGACCATAAGAATTTGCGAAGAATTGTCTCCATCATGTTTTGGAAAAAACCTGGACTAGATGCTAGGCCCATACTTGATACAGTTAATTGTTGATGGCCTCGATGCGGAGTTACGAAGGCAGTTTTCCACCTGTCCTTGGTGCGTATGGGGACTTGGTAAAATCCTTTAGTGATATCGAGGGTGGAGAATACGACTGCATCGCCAAGGGAGGATAGAATGGTATCTTGTCTAGGGAGAGGATAGGCATTTGGACGTAGCCTTGTGTTAATCCTGCGGAGGTCGATTACGACTCTGGGTTTTCCGTTTCGCCAAACTATGAAGGCGGGGGACGCTGCGGGGGATGGATTTTGAAAGGGGACATTTTCAATGCGACCTGCTTGTTGGAGTTCATCGAGGATCGGGTCCATAGCTTCTTTATCACGTAGGGAAATGTTGAATGGATTTTGTTTCAGACCTTTGAGATCATTTTCATCGACAAACGGAATTGGCATTTCGAAGCCTTTGACCTTGCCTAGCTTCGGGGAGAACAGCGCGCGTAGGCTGGAGAGAATTTTAAGGACTTTCTTTTTGTATTCTTTACCATAGTGCTCTGAGACATCGGGGGAGAAGTTGGGGGTATCTTCCTCGTAGTTCAATTGGAATGGTAGGTTGGGGGGCTCTGCGTTATCTTGTGGAGTTTGGGGACGATTTTGGATTTGGGGAGATTGGGTGTGAAATGTCGCGACCGGAGTATCGTGTGGTAACAAGGTGATGTGGCCGACTATCATGTCAGCGGGAAGCTTGGTATCAGTGGCACCAAGGTTCGCGATGGGTAGGGCTGAAATTTGTACATCTGTCGACAATCCTTTTGCAGCGGAGATATGGGAACCTGGCCGATGGAGATGTAGGGGTTCGAAATACAGTCTGTAAGAGTCCGTAGCGGGGAGTGGTGGGTGGGTGACTGGTACGATTAATTCGCGTGTTGGGGGAATAATTGTAGATGTGGCTACGCGGACTGGGATGCGTCTACGACAAGGGGGTGACATTGATGTCCTTGGTGAATTCGATCGCGTCAACGGTATGGTAATTTCAGTGTTATCAGCGGAGAATTTGAGGGTATCCGGATGTCCTAGGGCAATCGTTATGTTCATTTCTCTCATGATGTCGGTGCCAATTATCATGTGTGGGGGAAGCTCGTCGACGACGTGGAAAATAGCGTATACGGGGGTATGTGGTTCTGATAGTCGCTGGTAATATTGGATGGGAAGGATGGCGTACTCCTTAGAGATAAGGGGCATTTTGGATACGCCGTGTATAACAATTTGAATTTGGTCGGGATTGGAATTAATGGAAGTGGATGGGAAGCGTTCGCGAACAGTCCGAGCTTCGACTAGAGATAACCCGGAACCTGTATCTTGTATTGATAGAAATGATAATCCATGTTCATCTAACATTGCAGCTGTAAGAGGTGTTGAAGATGGCCGTGAAAACTCAGGCATTCTGTAGACATTAAAAGAGTGAAAATCGGAATCAGGAAGAATATTGCACATATTTGTAAAGGAAAAATGGTGTCCAAGATTGGCTAATCGTTTTTTGAGCTAGAAGGAGCGTCTGATTCAGATGCGGTATCATTGCGTGGTTCAATGGCATCTTCATCAATGTCTTCTTCATGGGCTGACATGTCATCCTGGACAGCGTGGAAGGCTCGGTTTTGGTTTTGATTTTGGCCTTCCTTATAGGGTCTTCTCCATTTGCTTCGGTCATCGCGACGTTGGTTGTTATAACCCTGTGGGTTATTTTGATTGTTATTACTCTTGTAGTTGTTCCAGCGATTGGACTGTCGGGGATTTTCAGGATTAAGCAACTGGTTGGTGGAATTGGCGTTTGGGTTATTCATGGGCTTAGACTCCTTGTCATTGTGGGATTTGTTGAAAGGGCGGGAAGATTGTCGATTGAGCGATCACAATTTGTATGCAGCAGCATCCTGATTGAGAACCTTGCGTCGGAAGTCGTTCAAAGAAGGAAAATCATCAGCGAATTCATCAACAGGGCAAATTACTTGGAGCTGTGCTTCAAGGCCGTCATATAGATGCTGGACAAGTTGGATTTGATCTGCGATTCCTGCTTCGCGCAGGAGGGCGATTTTCCGGGTGAAGTAGGAGGATATGGATAGGCTGTTGCGATTGGAGAATCGGTACCGCAGAAATAGAGCTTCTTGCAAGGCTTGCTGTCTTGATTTCCCAAAATGCTTTAATAGTTCGGTTTCCCAGCAGAATAAGCCGTCATTCATAGCTTGGACAGTGTCGGGCTCTAGGCCGGTAAGCCACTCCAAGGCTTCGCCTCGGAGACATCGTGGGAGTACTATGCGTACTGCTTCATCTCCGTATACAATCACTCATAAGCTCACTGAGAGGCATATGCATTGATCATTGTTCCTCAGCTGTTTTTCATTCACAATTCATTATCAATCAGAAGTAGAAAACACTCTTGCAAATGCTCTGTTCTGCTGAGAACAAGATATGCCATCTGATGATCTGGATGACAGATGAAAACACTGAGAGCATCAGTTAATCAACCTCACAATCATAAAAGGTCCCACACAACCAGATGAACCCCGCGTACACATTAACCAGTCCCGAGCACAAGACCCCTCATTCAAAGAGCAATGGAGACAAGCAGCAGAAGTGGACAAACCTTGGCAACAAGCCACTGAAGCTGTACAAAGCAAGGCACCCCGATTCCCCGCAGGCGTATACCCAAGAATGGACATCTCGGCAGGCTCGATCGATGATGATGGATGCCTACGCTTCCGAGATAGACGGTGGGTCCCTGATTCAGAACCTCTACGAACACGAATCATGCAGGAGATCCACGACTCGCCAATGACTGGGCACCCAGGCTGTGAGGTCATGTACAGCATTGTAGCCCGAGACTTCTACTGGCCGGACATGTCAAAGGACGTACGCCGGTTTGTACGCAATTGCGATCGCTGTGGCTCAGTAACAGCATGGCGCGAACGACGAAAAGGAATGTTGAAACCCCTGCCTATCCCCGAATGAACCTGGTGTGATATAGCAATTGACTTTGCAGTTTCTCTACCTGAAAGTGGAGGTTCTATGAACATCCTAGTCATTGTCGACTGACTCAGCAAGGGTGTAATACTGCAGCCCTGTGACAAGATGGATGCTGAAGTAGTTGCGGATGCTTTTGTCCAGAGCCCATTCTATCATATGCACGGCCTGCCTTCATCCATTGTATCAGATAGAGGCAGCCAATTCGTCAGTGCACTCTGGACCCGCGTATGCCAGCTGCTAAGAATCGAACGAAAATTGTCAACAGCGTACCACTCAGAGACTGATGGAGCCACAGAGAGGATGATACAAACAGTGAAGAACATCCTCTGTAAATTCTGCAATTATACACAAGACAACTGAAGCCACCTGCCACCACACACTGAGATTGTGATTAACAGCTGAGATTCTGCCATGACAGGCATAAGCCCATTCTTCCTCCTGCATGGATACAATTTAGAAGTTCTGGACTTCCCTGAGAACCCCTGAGAAACCACGTACGCCCGCAGTCCCATACAAGCGGCAGAGAACATTGTGAGCAAGCTTAAGAAAGCCCGCGAATGGGCAGAAGCTTCCATGGCCAGCACCCAGCAAGATTATGAGGACCAAGCGAACACCAGAAGGAGTCCTGCGACCCGATACCATGTAGGAGACAAGGTCTGGCTAGACCTCAAGAACATAAGAACGGACCGCCCCTCGCGTACGCTAGATTACCGCCACGCCAAATATACTGTGACGGAGGTGCTGGGCACACACGATTATCGACTCGACACCCCGCCTGGCATCCACGATGTCTTTCATACGAACCTGCTCCGACCCGCGGCCGAGGACCCATTCCCCTCACAAAGAACCTCCGACTGGCAGCCACCCGCCATCATAGGAGAAGATAACGAACTTGAATGGGAGATTGAAGCGATCCTTGATGATGGAACCAACCGCCGCCGCCGCGAATACCTTGTCAAATGGGTAGGATACGATCGCCCGACCTGGGAACCCGCGTCCGCCATGGAGGACACCGCCGCCCTCGACGCCTACGAGTCATCGCTCACCCCGGTAAGGGGGAATGATATGACGGGTTAGCACCCGTTAGTGGTTAACTTACGCAACCAACCCCTTCTGCCTCACGCTCCGCGCTCGCGTAGTTCTAACGATTCTTCCGCGTAACCCTCAATGTTCTTCCGCTCCGTGCTCCACTGCGGGGCGGCTTCTGATATTCTTCCGCCCCGATCTCCCTTCTATAAGAACCCCCTTCGTACAACCTTTCCTTCTGATCTCTTTTCTCTTTCTTTCCTTAATCAATTCGTAATCTGTATTTAGGATAGTGCTAGATCGTTAATCGATGTACGCTCATTACAGCTTTCATTCAAAAAAATGAGTTGATTGAATAAATATTAAATGAGTTGAATTCATCATTCTGCTCAAAGTTCTTCATTACATTGAGTGGTTATAAACTCAATTTATATATTATATTGTTGAATTAACAGATTCTAGAGTGATATTGAATTGATTGCAATATTGATCATCTTCTTTCATGTTATATTCAATTTCTTCAAGATTCTAAATATTGAATTTGAATGGATATCAACATCAAATTCATTCTTTACAAAGAAGACTGTTTCATTGTGGTAAGCAGTTGAATACATTTTAAAAAAGTTCTTCAATTCAGATAAAATATCTGCTGTGATTTTTAACTTTACTTCATATCTTGAATAAGAAGCTTTGACAGTTTCAAAATAGTGAAGATTATGTTGAATTCAATATACAGTGATCAGATGACAGTCAAAGCTCTATGTGATCTCAGCAGATATATAATCATCATTAAGAAAGCATGCAATCTCATTAGTAGTGAAATCATTGAGTTGAAGTGGCATATTGATGATAAAGGTATGAAAAACACATTATTTGAATGATTTGAACATTGATTTGATGTTATTTGAATGATTATAGAAAAATGTGGATAGAATGGCTATTTTTGCAGTGTTTTGCTACTAATATTCAGGGTGGCTGGGCAGATTCCTGTTTTCGCAAGCAATTCGATCGCCACAATAGCCAGCAGCGCAGGTACTCACAGAGCAAGATATTCTATGAGGCAGAAAGGTCCATCCAGATCAATCACGAGCGATGAGGTTCCCAGGTTACAGTTGCACGGCCCAGCGGATTCAGCTCTGCCAAGGTACTACTATCACCTCATCTAGAATTCATTGTTGATCCACTCTCACCACTCACCGCTAACTAACTTTGGTGGTGGTTGGGATGAGGGGATTAACCAGTGAGAGGGTTAGGGCTTAAGAAACATCAAGCACAGCGTAGTTTATACTGTGTTTGGTGCTTGCGCGCGATGGTGCAAACCACGTGATCCGATGCACCAGCACAGACCAACCAAACTTCTCTTCTAACAAACTCAAAACGCCGAATTTGGAGACAGCAACGTTTGAAGGAACTCGCGCATCTCATTGTACGTTACAGTAGTCCCGCTTGACTGCTATTGACCGCTCTAGGTAGACTTTGTCGTCCCTCAAAGCTACTTTGACTACGTATCCGACCCTCAGAATCGCAAAGTTTTGAGCCCCGAGCCTGCGCCTGCAGCTGTGAAAAGCTATTAGTTTGTCGAGAACCTCTTCAGCACAAGATGTACAACCCGTACCAGAGTAAGTTTCCACTCTAGCACGCATGCTCATGTCTTCTTAGAGCTTCGCGGATTCCAACTAATGCTGATGACCTTCTTAGCACAAGCACCGTTTGGTAGACCGCCGGAGTTTACGGCGTTCCCTGGAGCACCGTCGGGCATGCGTATGAAAACCCCTTCTACCCCACTCCTCATACCGTACGTGTATATTGACTGCAATCTCCAGCGCCTCCTCCAGGATTGTCAGCACCTGGGACCGGTCCTCCACCTGCCATGCAACAGTCGAATACGCAGCAACCTGGCCGACCAGGTGGATTCCCTCCGAACTTTCAACCCCCCGCAAACATGCCGAATATTAATTTCTCCGCCCCCGTTATCCGCCTTGGTACCTCTGGCGCATCTAAATCAGCTGCTCCTGTGGAAAGTGGCCGCGAACGTGGAGGAGAGTCTGGCGGGAGACGCGGCGGCCAGGGGCAACACTCCTTGGAGTCACAGCGCCAGAATTTACGCGACGCTATGTTACAACTGCAACCGCCTACGAAAGAGGAGGTTGTGCGGACCATATTTGTTGGTGGCATAACGGAGGGAGTTAGCAGTGACGAAACCATAGAACGGATACTTCGAACTGCGGGAAATTTGAAGCGCTGGATTCGCGCTACGGATGCTGATGATAAACCATGCACGTTTGGCTTTGCAGAGTACGAGGACCCTGAAAGCCTAAGCACTGCAGTGGAAGTGCTAAAGGATATTGAAGTGCCCGTGAAGAAGCCGATTCCAGTGAGAGAGGATGAAGGGGATGAGGAAGAGGCTGAAAAGAGCAAGTTACTGGTATGGTTTTAGAGCTGCTTCTATTACTATTATATTGAAGTAACTAACGTTTAATAGGTGGTTTTTGACGACAGCTCTCTCAAATACCTCGAGCAGTTTGAGTCCACTACCCAGCGAGACCCCGAAGCCGAGCAAGCACGGTTGGATGGGGCCAAAACGGCTCTAGCAAAGGTCCTTTCAGAGCTTACCAACCCACCAGCCCCCGCAAAACCGGACGACACTTCAAACGCGGTGGACGGCGAGGGCGATACGCCCATGAAAGATGTAGACGGACAGAAGGATGGGAACCCTGCTGAAATTGTTACGATTCCTATTAACGTTGAGGATGAGTTGTCAGATATCCCTGCTGAAATGAGAGAAACCGTTGCAAAAGAAATCGCAGCCTTCCGTGAAAGAAGCAACCGTCGCGACCTTGAAAGACTGAAGAGAGAGGAAGAACTCGAGTCTTTAGAAAGGGCTAGGGCGAGTGCTCCCAGGCCAAACAGATTAGCTTCGCCTCCCCCAACTGCACCAAGTGGTCCTGCAGGAGGTGCGAATGGCATCCCTCTAGGACCCAGGGACAAGGGTGTTCCAAAGGCGCCTTCGGCTCCGAAAGGATTTGGTCATCAAATTCCAAGGGACTACCAGAAGGGAGTATTGTTTGTGAACGGGAGTGGAATAAATGGTGCCAATGAAGACGAGGATACTGATGCAAGCGATGAAGAGCTTGAAAGAAGGCGTAAGGAAAAGAAAGCTGTTGAAGCGGAAAAGCAATATTTAGATCAAGAAAGGCGGTGGCTGAATCGGGAACGCAGCAGAACAGCAGCCGTGGAGCGAGAGAAAAATCGTGACAAGGAAGAAGATATTCGCCTAGAGGAGGAAAAGCTAATTATGGCTAAACGCCTGCGAGAATGGAATGATGACCTCGAAGCTAGCCGAAAAGTCGAAGAGTACTACGCTGATCGTGGCGTCTGGATACGAAATAGAGCTGCATTTAGAAATAGAGAGGTGAGCATGGATGAAGCGGATCGTGCTACGGAAGAGCGTGAGAATGCCCGGACCCAGCAACAAGAAGAACAAACTCGTGGTATGGCGGATGACTTCCTTGCCCAGCAAGCCGAAGAGTTGGAATCCCGGACCCAAGCCCCAAGAGAGCCACAACGCTTTAAACTGTCTCTCGGTGCGGCAGCACAGAAAGCCCAAGCTACGGCGCGGAGAACTGTGGCAGAAGTCGAGGGCCTCCTTGAGGATGAGGAGGATACGGGAGCCGCCACGAGACGGCCACTTACGTCTATTAAATTTGATACAGCGGCTGGGTCGGCCGGTCTTACGGATGAAGAGCGCGCCCAGGCAGCAAGGCAGCTTGCTGCCGATATCCCATCTGACAAAGATGGCCTTTGGAACTGGGAAGTTAATTGGGAGTTTGTGGATGAATCCGTTCGGGGAGAGCAACTTAAGCCATTTGTTGAGAAGAAAATTATGGAGTACCTTGGTGTCCAGGAGCAGATGCTGGTCGACGTGGTTGAGGAGCATATCCGGAAACGAGGGCATCCTCAGGAGCTAGTCGAACTGTTGGAAGAGGTAAGAATCCCCTCTCCCCTCCTTTTCTTTCTACTCACTTGTGTCAAATTTTCATTATTCTCTTGTGACAAAATTCTTGCAATGCTAATGATATACTTTCTCACACCCCAGGCTCTGGACGAGGAAGCGGAAATCCTGGTCAAGAAACTCTGGCGCATGATTATATTCTTCTCAGAAAGCGAGAAAAGAGGCCTTTCCGCTTAAACACAAACAGATATGTTTTAATAGGAACGGGGGAGGGGTGACGACACCCAGTTAAGGTTAATTCTATAAAGTTTAACTGATTCGTCCCGTCATCCTTCATAGACACTAGTACTAGCACTAGTACTTGCCTACCTGCCTGCCTGCCTGCCTGCCTGCCTGCCTGCCTGCCTATATTCTTCAATTTGTAAAAACTGGCTGAAGGGAATCGCTTAGTCATTGCTCTCCTGAACTGAATCCTTGTATTCTACATTGAAAGCAGTAATAGTACTTAACTTCTATCCCCGTTTCGTCCTGGCAAGGGTAACTAGATTTTATATGTTACTCTATCGTTTGGCTAATTCATGGGCTCGATGCTCCTCTCCATGCTCGGGATAATCCGGACAGTCTTACAGATCAAAAATTTGTTATTATATAGAGAAAGAAACTTTTATTTTATCTATTTTAAACTTTTGTAAAATAACAACTGTTATTTTTTGACATCTGAGAGATCTAATCTATATACTAAAATAAAAACATTGCTAAAGTAAATACAAAGAAGTATCAGTATTCTTTAAATTTGTTCCTGGACTGAAAAGGAGTGCTCCTCATTTCTGCCCCTGCTTCGCCTGACTTACTGTATATCCACCCCACCGGACAACTAATTATAGCAAGACGGCCCTTCCAGCAACGGCTCTCTTGCTTCACTAGGCACTCACGGGTAGCAGTACCTGCGTTGGTAAGGCCGTGTAGAACAACCAGTACAGTGAATTCTTCTGCACTCTATATTGGTCGTGCAGGTTATCGCGTAGCACCAAATATCAGCCCTCAAGTGCATGGCTGCTATGGCAGCCGGTCGCGTATCAATACTCTTTGCCATGCTCTCATGGTTTGCTATGTCCTCCGCTTTACTAGGGGGACCCAAAGCCTGTGTGAGGGGCACTTCCCAACCATCGGCATCCTGCCAAGCGGCCATGTTGTGCTCGAGTTCATCAGCATCCACAGACGTCGTTTGTGCAAGTTTGAGCAACTGAGCGTTGGTTAGTCTTCTGAAATCAATAACGTTCCCTTGTCCATCGAGGGATCGTGCGATTCCGTCTGCGCCGATATCGGTGAATCCCTCAGGGTCCTGCTTTAGTTCACGAATGATGGCTAATGTATCCTCCTGGCTCTTTGTGTTCTAAAAGATAAAAAAAAGATAAAAATTAAAAATGAAAACGCACAATCAGCATATCCTATCTATGACTATGGGTTTAGGTATATGGACCTACTGTTACTGCAGCACATTGTACCGCAACTCCAAACAGCCCGAGAGAAATAGTGGGGCGCAGAAGCTTCATAATCGAGATATAAGATTGGAAGTATTCCTCTTTCTTTTCGTTCCTCAGCAACCTTTGGCGAGAGCTTGACTAATCTGGAGTCAAACTATGATGGGGAATTGATTCCATGTTTATATAGAGTGAATAAGAGGTTGAGTGAATAGGGAATTTTGGTGAAGAGATCTCGGAAGAAGGGAAAGCTATTGCTTTCGCATCCTGGGGTGGCATTTGGTTGAACTAGCACCCCACGATCTCCCAAACTCTTTTGCAAACCAACGTTTGAAGCAGCACTCTTTTTACTCCACATCGCCCAGAACATGGGGTTAAAAGGTTGAGCACCGTTATAACAAAAAGGCGACCCGGCGTGTAGGTACAACCACGTGTTAATGCAACGAAACCTCCAACTGCCAACGTCAGATTAAGGGGTGTCGTCAAATTAGGGTTACGATTAGGGTTGGCTCAAGGGCTGGGACGTGAGAAGTATGAAGAGAAGCGAGATATGTAATAGCATTTTAAACCCTACGCCGAAGGAATTTCCGTCTAGGCTTGGGAACTATTCAACTGAAAGCGAGCTATGTGGGGGAGGCATGATAAATGGGGAAATTAGCCAGATGCCGGATTGGGAATGGGGTTCAATGGAGTGCACATGATGCTAGCATTGGAGCTGTACCGAAAAAAATATTCTCTGGCTAAAATCGGGGACAATGGTGCCTGAATTATGTTCAACCGTGGGCTCGAAATAGAGGGTGCCGCATAGAGAGCTGGAGGGTTTGCTGTGAAGGCTGCATTGATTGGATCGGACCACCGTATTGAGAATGTTGGCTGCTACCAAGGTGCATTGGAGAGTTGGATGAAAAAGAAAGGAGAAAATGAGTAGAGAGAGTGAGGGGAGAAAAGGTGTCTGTCTCCACTGTCTCCACTTCCTTCAAAATTTCAAAATATCAGTCACTGGAGGAGAACATCGATATAGCTTCCCCCAGGTGTAAAGTTAGATATCTGCCACTCAGATGATTTTCATCAAAAGCTGAGAGGAGGGGGAAGGTAGGCTATAGGTAGGAGAAATGTGAAATATTCAATGGAATGGGGTCACTGAATTACGGTGCAACACGCCTGCTGAAGACACATAGGTATCTGGTCACAGAAGGACACGCAACTATCATCAAGTTGACATATGACAGAACTTCTGAAGGCTCAATTCTCTCACCCGTTCGCAGGGCTGAACATTGCAAAACATTGAAACATCTCGCCAGCCACCACGTATTCTTTCCTTGTCTCAAGCCATTCTCTGAACAAATTGAAAATTGGTAAAAGATAAAAGTAGAAATAAAAAACAGAGAAAATAAGAAAATGAATGGAGAGCCAAGAAGGGGATATTAACAACAAATAACATGTAAACCTAGAACACCAAAATAGAGATATCTACAACTTAGCAATCATCTTGTTTCCCTTCTGCAGCCATTTCACAGCATCCCCAACAAGCTCATCAACAATAGCCTTGGCAGGTTTCTTCTCGTTAACGACGGCAGCAACCTTACCCATGAGGAACGGACGGGCGTTCTCAATCATGTCGTCATCGGTGTCGTCGGGGAGGTTTTCAAAGTCATGCTCAACGGGGATAATACCCTTGCTAGTGAGCTCCTTAATTTCTTCGGCGCGGTTTTCTTCCCAGTTCTGGATATAGGCGTTGTTGCGAACGCGCAAGGGTCGTCCCTGTAAACATCACAACAGGACGATGAGTTAGCAAAATAGGAAGCTGGAAAAATATCACTAGGCGAAATGCACCTAGGAAACGAAAATAACGCAAGGAGAACGGGTTGAGGGGGAGGGATGGCATACAGTGAAAATGACGGTGCGGATATTATCATCAAAGCCGGAGGTGCGGACAGCCTCTTGGTGAGATTCGGGGGCACCGGCCTCATCTGCAAGGATGAAACGGGTACCAACCCAGACGGCAGAAGCGCCAAGCATCAGAGCTGAGGCCACAGATTGGCCGCTGAAGATGCCTCCGGCGGCAATGCACTGGACTGGTTGTTTGGTGAAGGGGCTAATGTGTTGTGCGCAGAGCTTGGCAACGGTGGGGATAAGGATGGAGGTAGGGACATCTCCCGTATGTCCACCGCCCTCGCCACCTTGAGCGCATATCAAATCTGCGCCGATGTCGATGGCTTTCTGGACGTGCTTGGGGTGGCCGATCATGTTCATGTAGAGAACTCCATTGGCATGGAGCTTCTCGACGACAGCCTTGGGTGGGACACCGATAGCGCAGACAAAGAGGCGCGCTCCACTCTCGATGATGATATCGATCAGCTCGCCGAGCTTGCCCTTGGTGTAATCGTAGCTATATTTAGATTGATCAAATCAGTATGCTTATATATATTTGTGTGCGTGTCTAGGAATCATAAATATCTTTGGGGTAGCCTGTGTTGATTTGAGAGGTAGCAGGATTACACACTTGGTCTTTCGCGCATTTCCTCCAACCTGAGGAAGCAATAGATCAACACCGAAAGGAGCATTCTTATCATTCAAATATCTCTTCAGCTCAGCAATCTGCTCTCGCAACATATCCGGAGTGTAGCCAACTCCTCCGATGACACCGAGACCTCCGGCATTTGTGACTGCGGCAGCGAGTTTGGGACCGGCAGCAACGTTCATACCAGCCAAGAGGACTGGATGCTTGATCCCCAGAAGATCAGTTGCCGTGGTGCGAAGTTGTTCTGCGAGCAAGCAAAAATAAAGCGGTTAGCAGAGAAGTCATCTCTTTGACAGACGAAACATGCATGTGATTTTCGGGGAACTCACGAGGCGAAGCCATTTTGTCTACTGTGAGGAGGACTTTGGGATGGCAAGATAGCTTTCTGGACGGATGAATCAAGTAGGTATTGTACAAAGATCATACAGAGGATTTCGGGAGACAGGTATGTGATAGCGGACGATGGAGGTGGGAAGCCCAGGACGCGGATATTTATTGGAGGCTGTTCAAAGGCACGAGTTGGAGATGCCTCGGTAGATGTGGCAGTGTTTGGGTGTTTGTCGGCCCGGAAAATAAGGCAGTATCGAGTTGCCTGTTTCTTGTTTGGCTGGCATAACTTCGAGTTCAATTAATCCCATTAACTCGTGGGCGCCTGAGCTAACTCCCTCTGCGCTTAACCGATCGAATTCGAAGGAAGTATCCTCAAGAGGAATCGACTTCCATGCGGAGAGATCAATGTTTTGGCCATTCGGCTCGATTCGCCAAACGCATCCGTTACCACAAATACCCGTCCTTGTGGAGAAAATTCCGCCAGAATACACCTCTGGTCCGTATTCGATGTGTATTTGACGATACCGATGCCGCTAGATCAAATATGGAATAACTAGTTCGACGCTGATTCTGCTTATATAATGGTATTAGGGTTTTATAATCATGTGATTTCACACCGCATGTATCTCGGCACGGATTATCCAGGCATCCGACCCGCTGGCATTATCTTTCCCCACCCAAGGCACAAATAACCTTTTCTGAACCTTCTTCCCCGCGATGGCATGGATCGTATCGTCTCGATACCGCCAGGTAGTTTGCGCCAACGCATCTACCAAGCAGACTACTGCACTCCATGTCAGTCTGTGTACTCCGTATGCCTTACTCCGACGTAGGGGCCTGTGCTATTGCGGAACGGTGCCTCACATGTCTCGCTGGCCCACATCTCCAGCAGCTCCAAGCCGTAAGCCAGATGGAGTAAGCCAGCGCCGGCTTCGGGTGGGAATGTGACTGGTGACTGCTTACAGGCTCCATACGATGTATCCTTCCTGTTTCGGAGGGGTATTTTGCTCAAGTGGGGGAACTACTTGGAATCAAGGCCTGGCGATGGCAGCCTTCATCCTTAGCATCCTAAGTGGTTGGAAATCCAGGAAACGGAGAGGTCGACTCCTCCTCCGTCTTTGCCAGCTTCTCCTGATAAATTGGGAAAATGAAGTCAAACTATGGATTTAGTGTACGGACTGTTTCCGATTTTCTGAGCAATGAGAATGTGGCAAAAAACCACAGATTCGGAGCCGTACACGACGTCAAATGATGGTGTTTTGTGCGGGGTGTGCGCGTGCGCAAGCTATTTCAATAAAGACCCACAATTGGCCACAGTTGGCCACAGTTGGTTCACGGTTTTAAAGCTTGCGAGGCACCCGTCATGCCTTTTAGCTTCCTAAGTCGACCCATGCTAGCCAGAAGGAGGTAAATCGTTCGTTACACAGCGAACTCCATCTCTCTCCTGCCAATATATGAGTTCTCTCCCTTAACTCTCCTCTTTAATTCTCTCATCCACGAGCCTTTGAAAGTCACGCTGCGAGCGGCGGCGAGACTGTTAAACAGGATCGATCTCCAAACCAAATCCCGATCGCTTTCTACTTTTGGTCAGGTGTTTCTTTTGGATCTTGATCTTTGTTTCTTGTTCATCGTTCACTCGCTTATGTCGCTGGTCCCATCTAGATACCTTGCCCGCAGCCCACAGCTTCTGGGTTGTGTTCATAAGACTCAAAAAGTGAAAGCTTCGAAACAAATAGTGAATGAGTGGCCAGTGCAAGACATGCAAGGGTAATCCTGGCAAAAGGAATTACCCTGGTCACACATCAATAACCGTGTATGACCTGTATGACTGGAAACGGTTTTTTCTGTGTGATGCTTGGTGAGAATTGATCTTTTTTTTTGCTTGGGAATTCTGATTTAGAGGTACAGGACAAAGAATGAGTCACCAGCAAAAGTGGGTCGATCTTTTGGCTCAATAACGAAATGGATTTCAATAGATAATGGCGGTGGTTGGAATCTACGTCTTTTTTTTTTTTTTTTTTTTTTTTTTTTTTTTTTTTTTTGGGGGGGGAGACCTAACCAAAAGAAAAGAAAAGAAAGACCTTACCAAAAGAAAAGAAAAGAACCAAAACGGGCTCCCTCAGGTGAGGAGAGGACAGCTGCGCTGTGGGCACATCAATTCCATTTTTATGTACTCTGTAGCAAGATGTGGTTGCAAAGATGATCCCTTTTTTCAATGAAGCGTCCCGGTTAGCGGGCCAACTACGATCAGAGGAATACAGCAGGGCTTCTGCAAGGGATTTTACTTAGTTATTTTTGAGGCTTTTGCTTGAAGGACCCAGCTACGTCAATAGGCCACAGGACGAACGTTCATTCGCTTCATCTGCTACATCAACTTCTCCTGTTCATGCATTTAATTCTCCTATTTATGCATCCTTATTCAAGGACCCAAGAAGTTCAAAGGAACCAAATAAGGAACACGCAGCAGCGTGCGTTGTTTTGGATTAGGTTGTGTCCGTGTGTGCTTTGAACTAAACTCGGGTCGAAAAAGCTCGAGCCAGGCCAGATAAAATAGATCTACGGGTATGCGGTCCTGTCCTTATTGTTCACCACCTTTGGCAAATATCGCCCAACGGTTGGAACTACAAAGCGATAAAGCGGACGGGAAGGTTTATAAAATAAATGGCACCGCAAAGGGGAAGTAAGGGATGATTGAGGGTTTCAATAGAACAGACACGAAAATAAAATATTGATTCCATCCTTGTGGCCTGTCCAACCTTTTATTCGAAGCAGCATAAAATTAAAATGGAAAGAAAGAAAGGAACGAAAGAGATTTGGCAGAAAATGGATGAACCGTGGTTCAACCTGTGCACAACAACGGCCATGGCGCGAGTGGCTGACAACGCAGCCATGATCTGCGAGTAGAGATTGAGATATGTCACAGAAGATCTGGACCCTTTTCCCTTCGTGGGTTGGTCTTTGGTATCTTCGTGGCCATCGAACTAAGATAGTAGCTCATAAAATGGGTAGTGTGACGAGCCACTGCATTTCGGTATCAGGTTTGTATATGTAACCTATGTACATGTACATGTACCTGTACATTGACATAGAGAAGGAGGCTTGGATGCCTTCAAATTAGCTGGTCACTCGGACGTCTGGGGGATTAAAAATATCCGGATGTGAAGATACATGGTCATCAACATGGGAGTTCGACCTTCACATTTTTCACATTTTCAACCATCCCAGACTGTACCTCATGACAGGAATCTCACATTTGATCCCCTTAGTTCATGGAAGGGGAGTTTGCCTCATGCTTCCCGAGTGCCGATCAACCCTGAGGAGACCAGAACAGCGGTTTGAAGAGATCAAACACCTCAGCGACGGATGAGGGAGAGTCAATTGCTTAACACAAGCAGCCGCAGGTTAAGAAAGACGGGGTGCCGAAATAATCATCCGCTTTCCACACTACGACTCCTACCAGACTCCTAACCAAAGGTTTTCTCCTCCCATGCATCCAGACAAACCTACCTCAGCAGAATTATTCCTTGGCAGGGTCGTGATGGTCGATCACAGATTCTCACAGCCGCACTCTTCAAAAAAAAAAAAAATAAATAAATAAATAAAAGACGACGTTCCCACGTGTGATATCTCAATCCTCACTGGACAGTAATGGTGGGGTTTAGTCTCGGGGGACGGATGAAAACGTAATCAAGAGGAAAAGGTTGCTGGAATTCAAACGCTGATTGATCTGTGCTGTCGGTCGGCCCGGATAGTTTTTCGATCACTAGTTGCGCTAACACCTCCATTTTGATGGTGAACGAAGCTGAGTTTTGACCGATGTTCAGCCACTTATGACAAGCAGGATCTCCTCGATCTTAATTCCAAGGCCATGGTTGAGCGAAGCTCGGGGATGGCTGTGTGTGGGATGTGGATCAATGCGCAGCGGGCTAGGCGGGCCTAGCAGGGCCAGCATGTAGCATGCGGATGGAGGAGATGAGGGGAAAGGGAGCGGTGGGCAAGCCCCAAAATAGAGATGCACCAGGCTTGCATGTTCGATATGGGTTGTTGTTTGCTGTTTGCCAGTGTGCTGATTGCATGTACAGCACTGTAGATGGCCAGGACAAGCGAGTACTAGTACCCATGTCAGTCACCAACTCATCGAATACGAGATATAGATTGAGCACAAGAGGGCAAAAAAAAACCATGCCCAATTCCTGCCCGTGTGCACTGACCAGAAATATTACAAGACGTCAAAGCTGGCACATCCTATAGTGCTAGTAACTTAGGCAGGAGGAGAGCTGGGTAAAGCTATCAGCTCTAATTTGATGCTCCAAAATCGTTTGCATCCACGCCTTCTACTTCGAATAGTAACAGTTAAAAAGAATTATATTTGAACGTGTCCAAAATTCCTAACATTTAGCGAGTTTAATTTACTAGTACTCAGTATTTGAGTTTTCAGCTAGTTGCTTGAAGCCTGACAGTGTGATTTTAAGCGATGTTTAACCGTGTGCTGTTAACTTTGCACTCATAAAAGTTATATCTTCAATTTAAAATTCTTCTTAGTAATTATCAGACAGTAGTTATCAGATTGAAATGAGCATAACAGTACAAACAAAGCTGAATGAGAAGTTACTCATTGCCTCACTTTGAGCATTGCTGTATTGTCAGTGTGGTGCTGAACAGAGGTTGCCTTTCAGGGATGTATCCAGAGTTTTATGGATATAAACTCTGTAAAAACTGCGGCTTCAACGACCTGCCCAGCCAGAAAGCAAAATAATCGATTACAGGCAATAAATAAATAAATAAATAAATGGATAAATTTACAGGCTGCGGAATAACTTCATTATAGTTGAAGATTTCCAGAAAAAATCGTTACGAAATTTCCCACGTCATAAAAGAATCGAAAGCTAACTTAGGTCGCTAGCTAGCATAACACGTTCAATTTGCTTTTAAGTTTTGCTATGGTTAACAGGGTTCAAAAGCGGTTTTCAACCCTTTTCATGGATTCTAAACGCCTGCTGATTGGAAATAGGTTATACATCATTATCATTTACCTAAAGTAAGCCATTTCCACGGCTTTATTTCATCGCATCGGATTTTATGAATGGGGCAGAATGGCATGAGAGTGATATTGTCATCACGGAGTAGCAGATTGTCAAGATTTTGGTTCCGGTGAGAATCGGTGAAAATTGAGATGAGACTCCGGGGTAAAATAGATTGCTAAACTTGCATATTAACGTTAACTAACCATTAGCAAGCCGGCTTGATCAACAGAAGCAAATTGCTCGATGTCTCCGCCAAAATTGCTTGCCAAGCCTCTAGCACGCGGAACTGCTCGCTACTATTGCTGATGCACGGAGTACTGTGTGTCGGTAGGTAGTCACTCCTATGGTCGGTCAGTCCCACCTTCAACAGCTGTCCGCAGCATAACTACAGGACGATCGAACTGATGACACATTGTGGTTCATGACCAGTGCAGGCCGCAGCTGCACAGGTGAAAACATGGGAAGCCGGAATGATCTTCCGGGACGAACCACCTTAGCTAACGAAAGCTAACTGACTAGCTTAAGTTGTTTAGGTCGATTCGAGTAACGAGCCTCAAGGCTCAACCCTTCGACCTCCAGGGCTAATGAACATCCCTCTCGCGGGAAAATGGGCCAGGCATTCCTGTTCGTGGCAATTTCGTCCTCTAGGATTTGTGCGATGACCAGGCCAAGTGCCAGGATGAGATGACAATGAACCCAAAACAGAGCCAGGGACTGCACCTGCCCGGTAGTGGTATTCCAGGATTGTAGCGGCGCATAAGAGAGGGCAAGGGTTTCGAGTCGCTTAGCACTTAATCAATTGGAGGGGATTTTCACACGCAATCGACAATTCCGCACTACCCCTCCGTTGAAGGGGGTGGAGGACACGGAATGATGCAACTACGGTAATGCGGGATGGAGAACGCAGCACCACCAATGCAAGCGGCGAATCAATCAATGGTCAATAAACCTGCGGTGTGCATGGGAAGGGTGTATTTTACGGGGTGGTAGTATGGTCAAGGTAAGCTTCGTTGAGTTCATCTGGGAATCACCCAACCAGAAGACCCAGTGACCGCTGGCCTTTGAGGACAGGTTGGACTGATGTGCATGACAATCATCCTTGCGTTTAAGTTCTGTGGGTGGTGTCTGCTGGCCGTGGATTCTATAAAGAAGGATGTATAGACGCAGGGAACTGTCATTTCTGGTATGTTTCTTAAGAATTATCCGGGGTTCCGAGCTGTAAGCACGTCAGCTTGATATACATATTAAATGTCAAGCCGATTCATCTCCTGAAAAAAAGTTTTCCTTCAATTTTTTTTTCGCTTTTCTTCCACCTCACTATTTCCATACCTCATCCTCGTTCATAGTTCCTAGATATGGGTTCTTGTACCAGCATTGTTGCCAGTCATACAAACGAGTTGGGCGATGTGGTCCGAAGGCGGGCGAAGAAGATCCTGGCTCGTACTTCTCACTCTTTACCATCGCCCCCCAGGCTATCTCCGAAGAAGGAGAAGCTCAACGCTCTGATAAAGAAGAAAAAACAAAAATCCCTCGAAAAGGCAGAACGTCTCTTCCGAAAATCAAATTCAACATTCGACGACACTTCCAAAATAGATCACCTGCGTGCAACAGATTATCCCACTCTTGACGGAGAGGGCCATATCTATTTGGACTATACAGGTGGAGGACTTTATGCAGACTCTCAGCTGCGAGCACATCATGAGCTCCTCGCCCGCAATATTTTTGGGAACCCGCACTCCCTCAACCCAACTTCTAGCGCCATCACGGAGCTGGACGAGCAGGCTCGAGCACGAGTCTTATCTTTCTTCAATGCATCCCCAGACGAGTATGCCGTTGTCTTCACACATAACGCATCTACCGCTATGAAATTGGTGGGTGAATCCTATCCCTTCTGCCCGGGTGCAGAAGTCATATTGCTATGGGACAACCACAATTCTGCGCATGGGATTCGTGAATATGCTCGCTCCAAAGGTGCCACCATCTCATATATTCCAGTGTCGTCGGATGAGCTGCGCGCGGACGAGTCACTGGTCGAAAACGCTCTTCTTCCCAAGGATGAGAAAATTAGCAATTCCCGCCTATTTATCTATCCTGCCCAGTCAAACTTCTCAGGTATCCAACATCCACTCGAGTGGATTGACAAGGCCCACGAACAGGGGTGCCATGTTATGCTCGATGCTGCTGCTTTTGTTCCGACTAACCGCTTGGACCTCTCTCGCTGGCATCCTGATTTTGTACCCGTATCCTTCTACAAGATGTTTGGATATCCGACCGGTGCGGGGTGTCTAATTGCTCGCAGGGAGGCATTGGCACATTTGAAGAGGCCATGGTTTGCTGGCGGCACTGTCTGGGGTAGCTCTGTTCAGGCCGACGGACACGTCCTCTTGGAGGGCCACGAAGCTTTTGAGGATGGTACAATCAACTACCTGAATCTCCCAGCCGTGCACATCGGCCTCAACCATCTAGCGAGAATTGGAATGGAGACTATCCATGAGCGTGTTGTGTGTTTAACAGATTGGGTGATAAAAGAGATGCTTGCCCTCCGCCACTCTAACGGTGTTGCGGCCGTCAGGCTCTACGGAGCGCCCAACACACATCGACGCGGCGGAACCATAACATTCAATTTCATAACACCCGCGGGTGAAGTGGTCGATGAGCGTATCGTCGAGAAACTTTCGTCTGCTGTTAATATTTCCTTGCGCACGGGCTGCTTCTGCAATCCTGGTGCCGGAGAAGCTGCCCTCCGTCTCTCGCAGAAGGTTCTTGTCAACGCGTTCAATGGCGAGGCAGAAATGGAGATGCATAGTGGTCACAAGAAAGCCTGGGACGACTTCTTGGACGATATGGGACTACCCTCTGGCGGGGGTATCCGCATCTCGCTTGGGCTCATGTCCAACTTTGCCGATGTTTATCGATTCGTTCAATTCGCCCACACCTTCATCGACACCATTCCAGTGGTTGAGAAACTTGCTCCACGGTTGCATTGCTGATGTGAATTATAGCCGATATCAGCGTGATTTTTTCTTTCTTTCTTTCTTTCTTTTTTTTTTTTTTTTGGAACGTGAAAAAACAATCAACGACCAAACCACAGGAGTTTGTATATTAATTATATCAGCTGACGTGAACATGTATATAACGATTTTTAAGATTAACTGACTCCATGAACATACCCAACTCATACACGACATTTCAACTCCATATGTCTTTGTCTTTTTGACTAGGGTCGCCCCGGGCGTTGTCGGACGGATGGCCCACCAGGTGGTATTATGGATTTTCGGGTATTTTTGATATTTTCCTCCTCAAGCTTTTCTTGTTTTCTGGCGTTGCTGGAGTTGTTTGACTTGCGGAGAATTGGATGGAACTTGCGTGAAGTAACGTTAATTAAGATATCGGCGGGATATCATCAGAGATTATGTATATATATATATATATATATATATATAGGCTATAGAACTGCCGAGAATGCCAGTCGATCCAGTTCTCCAACTGCATGATTTGCTAGGTTCACAGGTCACAGGTCCGTTCAAAATCACCGAAAGTAAAGTGTTCTGTTGAAAGAAAGTGAGAGAGACAAGAATGGAAAGAGGATGGTAGTGTTCTTAAGAAAGCCTTTTAAGAACAATAGACTGCTCTGCTATTGTTCTTGATATATATATATTTTTTTTTTTTGGGTTGAGGGGGTCTGCCGCCCGCACCCAACATAACATCCATTAGAGTAGATATCACGGGTCTAACTCCACCAGGAATTCTCCTGTGCTTTGCATAGGAAGGCTTCCTGTTAATCATTTTTGGGGGAAAAAATGGAAACAGAGTTTAGTTGAGCATTCAACAGCGAACATGTTTCTTATCTACTACCCCAGGCTCCCTGGGAAAAGAGTCCGGTGGGTCATGCCAACGAGTCAGAAAATGTTGGCTGTACTAAATATGTAAGCTGATCCAGCTAAATAAAACACGTAGCGCCTGATTAGTTACTGATGGCTGGGTGTATCGTTCCTAAGTACTTACAACGGTGGAAGGGATAAATGGAAGACAGCTGGAAAAGACATATCGTAGGGCAAATAGACGTAGGATCAATGACACCGAAACCCCTCTCAAACATTTATCCTGTGCTCAAAGATACAGATAGTGGCCTGGGGCGCTAGAATATTAAGTGATGAGGACACCCCAAAGTCTAACCCGCTGTTTAACTTGTCAATAGTGGTCTGGCATCCATATCGTATTAGGGCGATGCGGCCACCTTTTTACGTTGTGCCTCGGTCTACTAGTACACAGTGTTATATTTTCGCTGCTTGAGGAACAGCTGAACTTCATCGGAGTATTGTCGAACCTGATTCATTGGTCAAAAATACGCATGAATGGAGCAAAATGCTCCGGCTGAATGTGTTTCAAATTGTAAAGTAGACACTTGTCATCTCCATGCTCCAAGCTTGATATGATGACTAATCGAACCGCATCTGGCTAACTATGGAACAGGTTGTTGCTGCTCACAACAGAATGCGCCAGTGAAGCTTCTCCTGCGTCTGTTGTGTCTGCCATTCTTGGTGATTGGTATGGAAAAGCAGGCACTTTCACAATGTGTTGGCAACATTGTTGGCATCTGTCGTCCTGGTTTGTCGTCCCAGAAGCTTCATCTTAGAATTCACAGCCAGTTGTTCGTCGCCCCTGGAATGGGGACCCCGCGAAGGTGAAGGTGACCTTGCTTTGTTTTAAAAGCGAAATTTGCGTCCAGATCAATTAGCTAATTGTAGGATAAAAGAGAATCTGTACTCCTCGTCAGTCGTGGTCGTCAATCACCTGTTTCAGCCTTCTGTTCTCTGAGCAATGCAAGCCTTCGCATTAGCTCTACCTCCATCAGGTATCATTGCGTCAAGACATCTTCTCCGTTGGGAAGAGTACTTGATTCTAGGCGCTCTTTCTCGCTATACCGTCCTTCGCTGGGTCTCTGCGACCAATTGATGCGGCAAAGTGTAGCAAGTGAACATCAACTTCAAAGTGAAAAGTGTTCTAGAGAACACGGTTTTCCCCTTATGAACCACCAGCGAAATTACTCCAACTCCTCAACACCCGGAGCTAGCGCATCTGCAAGCGTACCTAGTGTGTCGCCATGTCGCGCGTTTATTGCTTTGGGAAGCAATATGGGCGACCGCATTGCTGCAATCGAGGAAGCCTGTCGGGAAATGGAAGCTCGTGGCATCAAAATCATACGAACCAGTAACCTCTTCGAGACAGCCCCTATGTATGTCACAGATCAAGAGTCGTTTTTCAACGGTGTCTGCGAGGTTAGCTTTTGCCATGTTTTTTTTTTTTTGGGTTTGTTATTATGGCTTAAATTGGCTGTTCTAATACCTCCTCTAGATTGAGACCGCACTGGGTCCTATGGCCTTACTAAACACGCTCCAGTCAATTGAGACTGGTATGGGAAGACGCAAAATTATAGACAAGGGACCCCGTAACATAGATCTCGATATCTTGTTGTACAATAATTTGAAATTCTCTAGGCCCCGATTGGACATACCTCACAAACTCATGTTAGAGCGGGAATTTGTCTTGCGGCCACTGTGCCAGTGCGATTCAACCTTTCCCCCGATCCATGATAGTAGCGGAGTCGTATCCTACTGACACAAGAATAGGCTAATACCTGGAGAATCCCCTCCCCTTTCAGACAAAGCTCGCCCATATCAATCGTATCTTGACTCTCTTCCCCCTTCAAATCCCGCCCCGGTTGCCGTAACCCCGCTATCCCCACAATTACCACCCCTCTGCGCTTCCGACCCCAAACGCAAAACACACCTTATGGCCACCCTGAATGTAACTCCAGACTCCTTCTCCGATGGTGGAGAACACTCTCCCACAGACCTCGCATCCCTCACTGAGACCATCCGCAAGTTCATCCGTGATGGCGCTAGTATAATCGATGTAGGCGGCGAGAGCACCCGCCCCGACTGCGACCCTGTAACCGAAGAAGTGGAACTCTCTCGAGTTCTTCCTGCTATAAGACTTATCCGTTCCCTCCCCGAAGCCAACAGCGTCGCCATTAGCATCGACACGTACCGTGCTGCAGTCGCGGAGGCGGCGGTTAATGCAGGAGCAGATATCATCAATGATGTGTCTGGGGGCTCCCTGGACCCTAACATGCCTGCTACTATGGCGAAACTTCAGAAAACGGTGATTCTTATGCACATGCGCGGCACGCCACAGACAATGATGAAACTTACCGACTATAGCGCATATAAGCCTGGTCATGGTAGTGGCACTGGCACGGGCAGCGGGGTCGTTGACGGCGTTGCCAATGAACTGATGGAGCGAATAAGAGTTGTGGAGAACGCCGGTGTGCGGCGGTGGCGGATCATTCTGGACCCTGGAATTGGCTTTGCGAAGGTCAAAGAGCAGAATCTAGAGCTGCTGAGGAATCTCCAGTCGCTACGGGAGAGATTTGACGGATTACGTTATTTGCCGTGGTTGTTGGGCACGAGCCGGAAAGCGTTTATCGGGCGCGTCACGGGTGTTAAGAAGCCGAGCGAGAGACTTTGGGGTACAGCGGCGACTGTCACTGCTTCAATTGCAGGTGGGGCGGACATCGTGAGGGTTCATGATACTGATGAAATGAGCCAGGTGGTGAAAATGGCGGATGCAATTTATAGGAATGGTGATTGAGAGCCAAGGAAGTCTTTCGGATGAATAGCCGCAAGTGTTTTATTTTATTTTAGTATTGGCTTTTAAAATTCATTTGTATTTTTATACATTCTGCCTTTCGGCTGCCATTTGACAGAATTGAATTTCTGAGGTGGATGTGCCTCCCGGTTATACATGTATTTTAAATAACTATAGTAAGATGGATTCAACTTGTTAAAGGTGAGGATTTTGAATGCAGCTAACCTCCAATAAAATAAAAACTAACAATAATATAAAAATAAATTAAAATAAAGTAAAAGCGAAGCATAACAAAGCAAAACGAAACCGCAAATTTGGTATTCTACTCTCACAAGATTAGTTTAATGCTTTTAACTCCTGTAGTAGCCAGACGTCGTCGGGGCTATCATCTTCGTTATCGTCCCCGTATCCCGCTTTCTCGCCGAATGGGCCGGTGTCCTCTTTTCTTTATGCACTATCCGGAATCCCACCATCAAACAAAACAAAGAAAATAGAGAAAAGAGTTGGGAAAAATGTTATGTAAATCGATGACTACAGGGAAAGAAAATGGGAAAGTATCTTCGTATGCTTTTTTCACAAGGGGAAACAGGGGGTAAAAAGAAGAGCGAACCGAACAATGCAGATACGTAAATCTAACTGTTCAGATAGGTTCGAATGGCTCCTATAAATAAGAGTTAGCTGGCTCAAAATCTAACTGTATAAGGAAGTGGGGACAAGTAGAAAAGTAAAGAAAGAGATACGAAATGAATAAATAAAGGGTAAAAAGAAACTTGCCTTGTAACTTAGCCGCACCATCACCAATAAATTGTGTCAGATTCTCTAAGTCATCGCCTGCCGTAACTCCAAATCGTCGCACGAAGTCTCTCGCTGCGCTTTCCAGGTCATCATAATTGCCATACTCGTCGGTAGATGGTTGGTCATTTTCGGGACGGCCGAAATATGCATTGCTGGATATAGAAGTGGCGCCTTCAAAATTTGCGAGACGGCTCTTGGCTTCGGCCTGGGCGGCTGGGTCAAATTGATCGCGACCAAAGAACTCGTCCGAGGAGATCCCTTTCTGACTGCCAAATTTCTGTCTGGCATATTCTAGTTCCTCGTCTGAACAGGCGAAGAGGGCAAGTCGTTAATACATGGACGCAAGTTTCCCAATCGATCTCGATGACCACTTACCATCAACAGCCTTGGACGCGGCAGTGGCTCCAAATCCTAGCTTCTTAGGGGCAGGAGCTTTTGCTGCCGCTCCAACTTGACCAAATCCCAGGCGGCCCAAACCCATTCCAAGACGTTCGATTTCACTGGAGCTTCTTTCGTGGCTTCGGGTGGCTCCAAAGCTACCCCGGCTGGGGCTGACGGGTGTTGGGGCGGCTATTTTGGAGGCTGAAGATCCGGATTTTTTCGCCTCAGCTGCGGCCCTCTCCGCTTCGGGATCGTATCCCAGCTTGGCAATACGCTCCGCCTCTTCTTTTGCTCTTTTTTCCGCTTCCTCGAAGTCAATTGCATCGGAGATGATAAGTTTTTTGGCGCCCAACTTCGGAGCCTTTTTCGACCCCAATACACTGCCCTTCTTGGCGCCAACTGCCGCGGTCTTGCGAACTGCAGGATTTGACCGAACAGCCACGGGTGGGTCTGACACTGGGGATTTATCATCTGAGCCGGAGAGGGGGGATTTCGGTCGGGAAACTCCATTACCGTTAGCGCCCGCGTTGAGGAACGGGGAATCAGTGCGGCTGACTACAGGTGGGGTAGAAGTCCGCGAAGGAGGGTTGCTTGGTCGTTTGATGGTTGGCTTATCCCACGATGAGAAGAAGTCATCTTCGCCTTCACCTGCGGGTGTGGAGGTTCCGTCAGATTGAGATGCTGGCCCAGCATCAATGATGACAACTTCGTTGGGAAACCTAGAGCTCGCATGATTCATTAGAATAGAGTTAACTTCAAGGCAACATATACATGTTAGAATAAACATACTCTTGCGCATCCAGCTGTGCTCTTCGCTTCAGCTCTTCTTTATATTTCACTGCTGCAGCGGACGTATATTTAACTTTGGGGTCCTTGCTGGCCAAAGCCGCGGTCCCTCCATGTGACCGGAAATATTTCGTTGCGGACTCATTCCCTCCCACTTTCATAATTCGTAATTGTTCCCATTGCCACTCTATATCCAATATTAGAACACGCATGCATCAAATTACATACTAGAAAAAGGGCCTGGTTGTAGACGCACGATCAAGGTTGGTAGAGCGAACAAAGGAAATGTGAACGCCGAGGTTTCGGTGGTTAGACGAGCAATCCAAACACAGATAAATACCAAACGGAACCGAAGACCAGGTGGGATTGTTGGTGCCACAGTCAAAACATATCTGCACCAGCCAATATGAGTCGTGAATGGCAAAGAAAGGGGGGGTTCGGCAGTGTACTCACTTTATTTGCCGGTTTGGATTTCAGTTTTTCGAAAACTTTCTGGGATTGTGTCTTTGTTGCACTCATTGTGGATAGCGGCACAAAACGGCCTCGTTAAAAGAGACACTGCGGCGGGAGATCAACGAAGGTCTTCGGTGTCTAGGGGAGAGAGGACGTTGTGGTCGGCGGCGATAATCGGCCAGCGTGGTTCCAAACCAGAAAATAGGGCCACCAGCAAGCGCATACAAACGCGCGCCAAACTATATGACTAATAAATCATGTGATCTATAACGCTTCCCCAGTTTAGCAGCAATGACAACATGGAAGCAAGGAAAGGGAATATGAACGGGCTGGCGAACAAAAGTTCATTTTGTGAACGTGGGAGAGCTTATGGCCGATCTGGTATTGTCGAACTCGTCGCGATACGCTCCATTGCTTGCGCCGGTGCAGGTGCTGGGGCTTTAATCAACCTTAAGCATGACTCCCGTGTTCCGAACCCGATCAGTTCTCCGAAGCCTCTCCGCCGCGAACCCCGCTACAAAACACACATTCAAACCATGGGAGGCGCTTTCCCGGTATTATGCAACTCAGAACAGCTTGGGGGGAGCATCCTCATCATCAAATCCCAAGCAGTCCAGAAAACAAATAACCGTCACCAGCGACGATGGCCGAGTACGGTGGGGGGAGCTCTCTAGAAGAGAAAAGGCAGCTCGGGCAACTCAGCAATCTGCAAATTTCCTTATCATTGTTATTGGGGCTGCCATGACTGTGCGCATCCTTTAGCCATGTAAGATATAAGTGATCAGGGCATTGTGCTGATATTTAGTTTAGGGTGCTGTTTTTACTCTGCTTTACCAGGAAGTTTTTGCGCCAGACAGCAAAACTCGGAATTTCAATCGAGCCGTCGACCGAATTAAGGAGGACCAGAGATGTATCGAGCTACTTGGGGATAGCAACAAGATACGGGCCTATGGCGAGACTACATGGAATAAGTGGACGAGAAATAGGCCCATCGCGTGAGTGGAGCTCCAACCGGAATATCTACTGCATCATATTGGCTAACTACTGCGCTAGAACCACCGTGGAAAAGGACCGAGTTGGTCGGGAGCATATGAGAATGAACTTCAATGTGGGTATTGTTTTACTATTTCACTTTGCGAAGTACACCAACTAACGGCACTTGATTATTTTTAGGTCAGTGGCCCACGCAACGATGGAACTGTGAGCGTACATCTGATAAAGAACCCGCAAACAAATGAATTTGAATACAATATCCTGGCGTTGGACGTTAAAGGTATGCTGGTGTCATTCGAGGAAAATAATGAATTTTCCCTAACTGAGTACAGGTCATCAACGACTTTATCTTGAAAACGCAGAGGCAAATAAAAATGCAGCGAAGAAAGCTGCAACGAAAATATTTGGAATACAATGGCGTTAGCGGGGTTGTCACGCCGTTTTGATGGCCGTATGAAACCTTTATCAGTAGTTGAAGGCCGAAAAAGCCATGTCATTTGCTGGGTAGATGAATTTAAATGTGATGTCCTACCTCAATTTAACAACAGGAGACCGTATTATCTATGCATGGAGTTATTTTGGAACGCAAAGCATACACAGATATATATGGCGAAGCACATTCCCGACTATATTTTATAGGATATCGGCATCGCTTTGCCGATATCTAGCCCAAATATGTATATGTAACTGAAATCGCGCATGATCCCAAATGCATCTTGAAAGAAGAATCCAAAGAAAACCGCCAAAAGTTACAGAAGAATTACTAAATCTCATCCTTAATATCTGTGACCCTTGGCCAACCTTCAATCGACTTCCCAGACCAAATGGCAACAGCCTCCACGGCCTGCTGCACCTTCTCGACATCTTCCGTGCTCCGACCAACTCTTCTCAGGCCCCGGAGATGCCACAGTGCCGGACCTGGCCAACCCTGGCACATTATCGAGGGTAGCGTGACTAATAGCGTTTCGACCTCAGATAGTACCGTCTGATCAGCCAAAAAGAGTCCGTAGATCACACTCTTCTCCAGCCACACGAATTCTTCCCTGTAGGACCCCCAGGTATCAAAAATGGGTTCGAGATTCTGTTTGTATAGAAGCTGAATAAATTTTGTGCCGCGTTCCGAGATACCTTTCTCGAAATCAATATTTATCCTGTCCAGTAAATTTAATTTAGTCGCCGCCCTTTTCAATTTTATATTTTAATATAAATTAATTCCCCAACTATCAGCATCCCATCGTTACATGTACTGAGGTACAGAATCAAGACAATATAGAAGTAGTCAAAACAAGAATTCCAAATAAAAGTAAATTGAAAAAATTGAAAAAAAAAAAAAAAAAAAAAAAAATGTAACCTAAGATATCATCGAAAATAATAATTAACGTACCTCTTGTCCTCCAGCCCCGTATTACTCGCTGATACGAATCTCTCCGCCTTAGCTAGCGATGAGACAGCCATCAGCACACTCGGGATGCCGACAAGTGTCCATGCTTTCATGAGCAGATCGCTGAACCGGCGAGCTATTCTGCGCTCTTGCTCCAGGGTCAGATTGGGATATTCCGTGTCCAATATGTACTCGTAAAGCTCCCCTAGTTCGGTCGGCTTGCCAGAAGCTACTAGAGCGGCGGCCTTTCATTAGTCATTAGAGCTTGTTTGTTTCAATATTACGGAATGGCAAGCCCGTAATTCCTGTGTCCTAAATCGTAATGTGCTTGTCTTCCTCGATCCCCTCTATTTATTCTTCCCTGTTCTCTGCAAGACGTAAGCAACTTACTGTGAGTAGATACCATTGGTCTTCTCGAAGATCTTCGGGGAGAAGACTTTTAACTTTCTCGCAGAGCGCGGGGATAGATGAGGTCATTGTTGATGACGGGGAGAACTGTGTTTCATACGGAAGAATGGCAGGTTTGCGAGCAGAATTGGTTCACATAAACGAAGGATTATAAACCGCGGCGTCATTCGGGTCCGGATGATCACTTTTATATTTGTTAGTGGGTACTACGGCTATGTTAGGGGGTTCTACGGCTACCCTATCACGTGCCCCCAACATATTCAAGGTTGTGTTGCTCTCGCGTAGTTAGTTTAGTAATGGACAACAACGTTAACTAGTTAACTGTTGAGGGGATTGGATTGGGTGATTCGTACCCTCTATACCACCACGGCGCTGGTGGTGATTGAGCTCTTTTGCCCTAGTGGCCTAATATTAACTAACTCCTCCTACAATATTATTACGTAATCGGATAGCTGAAGAATAACTAACGGACTTCTTCACCGCGCTAGTTTAGTATGAGACATTAGCTACTCTCTCGTACACTCATACTAAATTGGCGTGGTGATATAAAGTGGCTGAGAAAGTGGTGAAGTAAAAAGCACGCTAGAGCTCTGATTATTGGATTTACCATCAATTTATACCTGATAGATATAGCTTCTCACTCAAAAGGAAGAATGAGATATCAAGTAAAGGAAAATAATAATTTTTGTGTGATGAAACCTCGGTTGCCAAATAGGTGCTGATTCGGCTGAGATGTCAAGCGTCCCCTCCTAAAAATGATAAAAGAACGGACGGAAAAGAATAAAAATAAGTTAACCAATCAGAGGAGCAGAGGGGAACACCACGTCGCATATTGTTCCGCTCTTCGTTTGTATTGTCTCCGTCTTATGGAGCCAAAGTTATCTTGTTCTTTGCTGTCCCTCCATCAGCCCTGTTTCTCTTGCGGGTAATATTTCCCTGATGAGGGTCGTACCTCTTTTTGCAGTACGCAATCTTCAGATTTCACTCCACAGTTGACGCCTCTTTTTTTTTTCTTGGTTCAATTTACCTTTTTGAGATATTAGGTGCTTACTAGGTTAGCATTAGTTTAGTGATTAGCCGCCGATCATCTCACTGGTGTGCGCCTAATTGCACCGCTGCCGAGATTTTGATAACGGTTTGCAAAAGGATCAGATGGCTTAACATGAGAGAATGCAAGCAATAATGGCCCCACACCTTCATGTAGACAAGCTTCATAGCCTCCAAATGATTTATGTCGTTGTCAAATACTCTGGCACCGATACGTTTGGGAAACGTTACTGCTTGGGTTGGTAGGGTCGAATGGCATCAAGCTAACAAATGGTACCAGTGTGAAAGCGAACTCAATTTCCCATTCCGCGGCACGCATCCAAGCAGGAGTGGTGTTTTAATCTAGATCTGATCTCTTCCACCACATCCTGGTCTAGGCAACGGATAGATCAAGACTTCGAAAGGAGTCGATTTGGCTTTCGCGCGGTGCCCTCACTGTGATAAGATTGCACATTTTTCAGAGTTATGAAGCACTAACTTTTTAGACTCACTTCGGGGGAGGAGCTTTTCGATTAAATTCGTGCCCCGCCTCAATCGTCCAGCTTTGCATCGGTCTTATAACTGATAGTGGTCTCACACTTTTGAGAAAATATATCGCAATTATCCCAATGGTAACGGTATTTCCAGCGTTTTTTTGGAGCTAGAATGGACAGACAGAAAACTGTCAACACAATTGAGGATACATAAACATCAATCTCATATCTCCTTCAGAGCCGGACGCAACATTTTGACAAATATACTGCTCGTCGGAAGGGTTTTGGGCAAAGTCGTACGGAGACTGATACAGCTCTGCATTCGCGAGGCTCATCGTCATCAAGAGATACAAATGAACAGGTCAAATGCTTGAAGGTATTTGGTGGGTGTCAAGAACCTGCTGATCAACGATCCCAACGCCGCGGCTATCAATGAGCAAGTTAACATCAAGTGTAGAGAAGCGAGCAAGAATTGGCTGAACAATATCAATCGTCCTTGCGTTTCTGTTAGGTTGAGACTCTAGATATTATATGATATGACCTCCTGTTGTCTTTGATTCGTTTCCACCCATGTTTTATATTTGGATTTTAGCGCGACCCAAAAATGCAGTAAGTACTAGAAGTTCCTGTGAATTAGACCTCTCCGTCTGTTAGAGATGCGTTTCGAATGACAGGAGAATGTGCGATAGACGGGTAAAATGGTATACCAATGATACCGGAAACTTGCTTGAATTCATGTGCTCAGATGACGCTGGTATATGGCGGCCATGGTTACATTTGCGATTGGGTCAGTGGTGAGGCTGATAGCCGCGCAATCAGCTGGAATCTGCTTAATTCATTCAATGAAAAAGCATTGTATTGAGCAATGATCCCAATCGATGTGGGTGGTTGTGCGCGAGCGTGAGCATGGGACCTTTTTTTTCATATCAAACAGGCCACATGGTTCTTCTTATTAATCAAAGCTTGTACTGGAATTATTTCGTCGATCGGTTTTCAATTGCGACTTCGTTCTGGGAGCATTGATCTGATAACATGATAGAGCTACTCAGCAACTGGGCCTGCAAACTCCATACATACATACAGAAACCCTCTCCTCAGCCGCCTTCATTGTGGTACTTCTGGGAGATGAGGTCGTCGTGCGCCAGAATCCAGATGAACGCCGTGATCGAAGGTATTTGCACATCATGTGGGTTGCCACCGTAGCCCACACCATTATCCATCGAACAACTATATCACGGCCTCTCGACACCTCTAGCAGGGACGTCTCCGACAGCCCTTGGGCAGTAAAAGACAAGAAACGGGCTTCTCGTACATTAGTATAGCTATCTTGGACCTGGAAAATTTAATAATCTGCCTTTCACAAGCCTCTGATGCAGACCTGATGCAGATAATAGGATGCAATTTTTAATTTGCCGTTAAACACATTTGGCGCAAAATAAGTGGGAGTGCTTTAGAACTTTCAGTGGCCTGACAGTCCCAAACATCTGTCAGGCCAGCTTATTTAGTATCATATGTTGTCCATATGAGCGTTCGATAAACTTCAGGGAAAAAGGAAGCCGTAAGGTCAAATGGTATGTCTCTCCCAGCTCCCAGTAATTGAATAAAAATTTTCTCACATGAACCCTGCTACGTCGCTGGAGGTAAGGAAATTAGGCCTAGCGATGTGAACACAATTGAGGCGAAAATCTGGGAGAATTATAATTTTGTACCATAGTTAGCTTTTTTCCTGTTTTCTTTCTTTTTCTGACATTTTGGCATATCTTGAGGCCTTTTCAAGCTACTGCAGCTTCTTTGGATTGATAGTGTAAAATAGTGATGTTTGTGGGAGGAAGCTTTGAGAGAATACAATCCCTCATCGATTATAATGTTTTGGCAATAGAAGTATGTCTATTCATAAACCTGCATTGTAGATAATTATCACGCTTTCAATGGCGCTATAAGCTCCAAAAAATGACCCTCAGAGGCACATCAATACTGCGGCCTGTATGTTGCTGTAATAGAATGAACCAGGCTGACAAGGGATCTAGATGGAGTCAAGGCTGCTAGCAGGATATAGGTTTGGAGTGGGAATATGAGCCATCATATCCGTAATTAAAACCGGGGATTGGAAATGATAATGATAAAACATCTGAGGCGATTGTACTGTACATGTCAGGATATAAGCAGTACAATTCTCAATCGACTGTGGGATGTTTGACGGGTCTCTGGTCAAAATATACTGCATTTCATTCGCTGAATGAGATTGGAGTCTCAAAAATGACGCGGCATTTTCTTCAATAATTTCCCATTGAAGAAAACGAGAGAAGCTGGACTGTTTCTCACGGGAGCTTTCATGGTCTGGAGGCATAAATCGCCTTATGTTCTTTGTCATATTGGGGTCAAAAAGGAGATTTAATATTATGAGAATGTATGTCGGGCCCAATTGATAATTGGCAACTCATCTCATTTCTCAGACGAGGCAAAAATCCATCAACAGTCTTGACTATCACTAGAAGTGATGAAGGCCAACCTGAGCGTAGGAGGGACCGGATATCAATACAATCCAGTGTCTATTGGTTTCCCGGTTTTACCAGATGATTGGCTACCTGATTTATGCTCTCTAATATCAGAGGAAATCAGGCGATCAATACACAGGAATCGGTCATTGACAAGATTGAGAGCCATGTCTGTGAGAAAAATCCTTCCAGCTGGAAATTCTGTAGGAGGATAACGTTCGTTGTTATTACTAAACTAACTACGCGAGAGCAAATACAATATGTTGGGGGGCACGTGATAGGGTAGCCGTAGTTGTGGGACGTCTAAGTGGTTGTATTAACATGCAGGCAGCTGAGGCATATATGTGCGGTGCGCTAGTCCGTGATAGGCAGCCTAGGGCCAACAGTAGTACCCACTAACAAATTCCGATATCACATGATTTTAGGGTTAAACAGTCCAAATACAGTTAGTGTTGTATCATTATCCTCCGGGCCGACATAGATCCGGGCTTCACCCGTTGCTACGAGTTCTGGATAATTGCACATTAAAATCAGGACAATCGCAGCTCCAAACAAGCAAACCGGAGCTACTTCCTACATAGTAACAGACTCTTTAAACATGTCGAAACTTGCTAAGTACGATTTTTCTTGATCTTTTTCTTATCCCTAGCGGTCAAGAAAATCCTCAACTAACAAACTGCAGTCGTGCTGACTGGGCGGACGACGAGGAGTTCGACGAAGCTCAATCCCTCCCACCCCAACAAGTGATCACTAACAAAGACGGTACCAAGACTGTTATTTCTTATCGATTTAACGACGACGGCAAGAAAGTAAAAACCAGCCGCCGAATTCGAACAACTGTGGTCAAGGAACACGTGAACCCCAGAGTCGCAGAACGGCGAGGATGGCCAAAGTTTGGGCTTGAAAAGGGCCATCCGGCTGGTCCCTCGTTCGATACTACCTCCGTTGGTGAAAATATTATCTTCAGACCTAGTGTAAACTGGAAAGCACAAGCGAAAGAAGCAGAGAAAGCAGGCCCTGAGAAGGGAAGCATCAAAGACCAACTAAAGGACAAGAAAGTCAAGTGCCGAATTTGTTCCGGGGAACATTTCACTGCCAAATGTCCGTTCAAGGATACGATGGCACCAGTTGAAGAACCTGGTGCAGGCACCGGTGACGATGCGGGTGAAGAGCGGCCAACTGGCGCCCTGGGTGCTGGTGGCAGCAGTTACGTGCCGCCCCATCTACGCAAAGGTGGTGCTTCAGCTGGAGAGCGCATGGGCGGAAAATATGAGCGAGACGATCTGGCAACTCTTCGCGTTACAAATGTAAGTTCATGCAAAGAGCAACCATTTTCCTGTTATTGGAGGCTGACTGTGCGCAGGTGAGCGAGCTGGCCGAAGAACAAGAAATTCGGGACATGTTTGAAAGATTCGGTCGCGTCACAAGAGTCTTTCTGGCAAAGGATAGGGAAACAAATATGGCAAAAGGCTTCGCCTTCATTTCGTTCCAAGATAGAAGTGATGCTGCTCGCGCATGCGAGAAAATGGACGGCTGTAAGTTTTATCTGCTGTGTATTACCAAACGGATAATTCCTCTGCTAATGCGATATGTAGTTGGTTATCGGCATCTGATCCTACGCGTGGAGTTTGCGAAGAAGACTACGTAATTTAACTGATCTATTTCCGGCTAATGTGGTGTTTTCAAATTGATATGGTTTCGGTAAAGAAAAATTTCCCCAAGTGTACTCTGTGATGATTGTTGAATGAATGCATTTACGGCTACTTCGATTGATTCTTTGAAAATATGTAGATGGCCTCAACATAGTGAGTGTGTCTATTTGGTTCTCCTATTTTCTGCCTCTGTCCATACGACCCTACAGTTAGCGCGCTTTATCACCCAGGATTAGAACCCTCGTCTAACCCCTTCCTCCCCACGGATCCGATAGGGGATAGGGTATGGTTTCTTATCCTTTTGATGCCGTTGCTGTTGCTGTTGCCTTAAGCGCATCGTGTTTGCTCTTTTCATATATTCCCGCTTGCAAAATTCAAATACCACATGAAATGACTAGAGTTCCTGCTGCTACCGCCCCGACCACGTCATTTAGTCAAGGTCCCATACGTCTCAAGGTGTTACGAATATGTGTGAGCCCCGTTCGCCCTATCTACCCGGATTTAACTCCTTGCAGCAATCATCGGCAACAAGCAAATAATGTTTGCGACCCCTCTTTCTCCATTTCTTTTCGATTCTTCTTCCGATTCTTCTTCCGATTCTTCTTCCGCATTCCTTTCGGACATTTCTGCATATTTGCTTTTTGCGCCCCCAACCAACGCGTTACCTCAAATATGTTTCGCCACTTCCTCTATCTCTTCTCCTCTCTCTATTATAGATAAATACATATACATTCCAATGCCAATTTACTTGGACCAGGCCACCGGGTAGCCGGGTTCTGTTGGCCAGCAGATAGAGGAACGCCCAATGCACACATGCATCTAGGCGCGCAGAACAGCCGGCCAAGTAGCATACTCTCGGTCCCATATATTTCATTATTATTAACAAGCACGGTATTTCCCGCCTATGGATGCTCTTATTTTTTCCCTTCCACTGCTCGGGAAACAACAAAGGGCTGTAATAACACGCGCTCTTCAAAGTCTCACAACATCCTTTGAGCCGCCAACAGACACATCACATTGCATCGGCTGCATTACCGTTTGAGTCTATAACAAGTTGGTGACCCTTCTGATTGCCTCTCCTGTTGACCCAGCAACTCTTTGCGAATGACCCGGGGGATAGTGGAAATTGCCCACAACAACAACAACAATAAAAAAAAGGGGAGGAGAAGAAGCTGCTAAGTGTCGTCCATGCTTTACGGCTAGTATTGGCCCTTTTTTTTCGTTTTTGCGTTCTCACTCCAACCCTCAACTCTACTGGTTATTCTATCTCCCGTATCTATTTCTACTTGTTGGCGTTTTCAGGATTTTGAAGTATCTTCTGTCATATCTGCCTCATTCTTCGCAGCTTTCTCCTTTCGTGTCATATCCCATTTTGTTTCCCCCAACGTATCATACAGACAAACCCGCTATCAGCACCACGCACTTGACGGTTTTTACGGTATATTTGTTTGCTGCTGTTATCCAGATAGGACCTCATTTTATCCTGCTCAGGGCTCATATATCCTTTTTATTGCTTGTTCTTTTTGCTCTTTTATGCTTATTTTCCTGTATACCCACGGACATAAAATCTTACTCTGTGATGGACACCTATGTTTGTGATATTACGGCTGAGCGGGGACGGAAAGTACTTTATCTGCTTCCGTCAACTCAGAAATATCGTTTACCTTATAAAGCGCCCGCCATATTTCATTTCAGTAATAGAACCCAACCAACAAAGAAACAAGAATGCGGACGTGGGTTTGTTTGAGAATAGCAATTCTTGGTAAATAGCAGACACATGCAAAGGGGTTTCTCTGGAGGCAAACAAGAAATGGGAATCCGAAGAATTGCAAATGATTCTGTGCTCTGTTTACCTCATTCTCCAGCTTTTGTTCATCCACTCACTCGGAAGCGTCCATTATAACACCCACTTGCTGCCCAGGCTGTAGGCCGAACCGACGGCAAATGAATGACACATATCCCTGCCAAAATATTCTTTTTGTCAAAACCCGGCGAGGCGCGCGCGTTAGGACGGACAGTTAGTTTACATGGTACATGCATATATCAGAAAAAGAAAAGAAAACCCAAGAAGAAGGGCCTTACGAGCTGACTAGTTCTATACGCGCACCCGTACATTGCAATATCTCCATACAGTTACATTGGCGGGCACACCACGACATGGCTTCACAGCCCTCCCCCGACATCCGGCAGAGAGGACAGCCAACTAACAAAAGCAAGCCGGTATCGCCTTTGCGCCAACATTCCAAGAATGAAAATAACAAAATCTGGGAGAGGCACGGTATACGTCATCCAGGCGGCGCCGCCCCGACATCAAGATGAAACCGAATCCCGAATTTAAGCAATGTTTGTTAGGTTCTGGGGGCGGAGAGCATAAAGAACATTCGTCTCTTAAATCTATGTACGAGATCGGACATCTACCCACAAATGTACGGTGTCCGGGCTCACTTTTGATTTGATTTTACGTCTTCGAGGGTCTGATGACTTGCGATCTTGGTCCTCGAAGTTCATAACTAGTACGTATGGTCGATATATACAAATATACACTCGAGTTGAAACAAAACCACCCATGCGCCTGCTCAGGTACCTAATAAAACCTACCTCGGTACAAACCTTGACCTATTTTTCTTTTTGCAAAGCGGGCGGAAATGCGGTGTCTACGTACGAAATACCTTGCTTGGAACTTGGATAGATGGATGGAGGGGCGCAGTTTGCGGCTAGATTAGTGGATTCCCAGTGACGTGGGCAAGGGACAACCCGAGACCCAATCCCTGGCTTTTTGCATCTAACTCAAGGTCACCGCTGTTCTTGTTCCCAGGCACAATGTGCTGTGCTGTCCATATACCGTGCATGTACAGCTTCAGATCAATTTCGTCGATTTCAGCAGATCACCCTTTTCCTTTTCCTTTTCCTACCACGTAATCTTTGGTTTCCTTCTTCCTTCCCATGAAAATCCACCAAATGTTGGATTCCGGACCCTATCTCCCATCCATTCGGAAGCCCCGGGACTAGTCAATCTCTCGACCAACGACGGCATGGAAGAAGCTGAGAAAATCCCCTTCTTTGCGACAGACAGTCGCATACCATTTTAGCATCATCACCCTCCTATGATAAGCCATTATGAGCATTGATGAGCAAATGCGGGAGGAGGAGTTAGCGGGAGCCACCAAAGCCCTGACCACCGAGGCTCCTGCGGAAGGGGTACATCGCGGAGCCTATACCTACCTAGGTATTTTCATTCGGGATCTATGTAGGTACGTAACGGAACCGATCTTTGGTTCCGTTCTTATTTTTCTCGAATATGTGAGATGAAATAATTCCGATACCTAGCTCCAGGTTCCGTGCCGGTATTCGGTGCAGACACCTACATGTACTGTACCTGTACATCCATGTCTTTCGTCGTTAGTGCGGATACTGCCTCTTCCGCCTAGTACCTCAGGAGTAAATATGGGAGACAAAGAAAATGATACAGAAAGACGACCAGAAGACGGAGCGACTGGTTTTCAAGCTATTCTCCGCTCTTGTCTAGCTAAAAGCAGGAAACGAAGAATTTGAGTTAGCCTAGCTTTGTCTTTCACATTGTGCCTTGCCCTTATCCCAACCAGGGTAATTACCATAATTTTGCTCCATTCATTTCATCTCGTTTCCTTTCGGGCCTCTTCCTCTATTAGTATTCGTCCGCCGAGGCCAAACCCGCTCAGATCTCAAATAGAAGACGCCCTCAGCCAAAGGGCGGGATTCCAATTTATTGAGGAGAAACTTGCTGAGTTGCGAAGTCAGGTTAGAGTATGAGGTAAGAGGCGCTCGAAGATCGTTAACCTACTGGCCTGTTAACTACTAGGTGATCTACAGGATCGACTTAGAACCCAGACGAGGTCAAAACTTAAAGGGCTCAAGGTGGGGGTTTCGATGGATGGATTCCTGAAACTGTTTGGGAGGGGTGGGAGGGGAGGACAGGTCAAGGGCTGAGTCTGGGAGGCCTGAAGGAGTCCGGCTTCAAATCACCAACCTTTTGGGTTCCTGAGTATGCGCGTGCGTGGGCGATTGATTTTCGCTGTGGAGAAAGGCAAGACCCTGTATTTTAATATTTCTATTTTATTCCCAGCTAAATACCAAAACGGTTTTAAATCGACATTTTCATTTGTTTTAACTTTTCTTCGGCAATCCTTCTGTTCTGTGTCATATGATCGTGGATGGTAATAACAAGCGATTCGACACTCCAAGAAAATGGAAGTGTGAAGAATAATCTACGGCTATCCCTTGTTTGGGGATGAGAGCAGTTCGTGGTGTCTTCCTGTGTACCCATCTATTTGTACTTTATTATTTTTATTTTGCGAGCCCTTGACTTGGTATTTTTCAACAAGAATATTTTTCTTTTCTCGGGCAGGGGTTGGATGAAGTCGTACACGTTTAGATCGCCTCGAGCTTGATTAGTTTTCCAATCCAGGATTTTGGCGATTCGATTCCCCGTGGGGGCGATCAATTAACGTAGCAACGCATCTAACAAGGAGTTAACAACGATTCCTATACTCCTCCATTCATCGGACATATGATTACCTCTATTAGCAAATGCCGATACCAAAACATTAGAAATGGAGAAGAACGGCGTTAATTAAGTATCAACGGATACTTCGCCTGGTAACCAAAATTGATATTGGGCGAAATTTGGCGGCAAAGAAATACGGAAATGTCTCATCCATGATAAAAATGGTTGGGCAGCGTTCTGGAGCGAGCCAGATATCTAGAAACCACGGTAATTTCATATGCACTTCACAAAGGCTTTCTGTTTGGCTGCTGCTCGGAGCTCAAGCATGCTTGTTATTACCTTGTGCTCCCGTTTCATGCTCGTTGAGGTGGTCAGGGTAGTAAAATAAGGGGACAGATGGTCTTCTATCCGGACAAAGGGTTCCAACCTTAAAACAGGCGTTATACATGCACAACGTTGGATTTCTGGGAGGCCGGCTGTTGGATGCCCCAGCTTGTGTATATCATTTATTGCACCGTTGGCTGAGAGTTGGGGTGGTTCACCCCAGCAGTCGCGACTGACACGCTAGGGGGGAATGGTTCGTTGACGATGAGCCAAGGCATAGCTCATGATAGTGGATGATAAAGTGTTTCCTCCCGCATCTTGAGTTGGTCTGAAATTGGAATCTTTTAAACTGGAGATCCAACAGAAATGATGTGGACAACCCATTAGAATGTGTAACAAGTTCGCAGGCGGTGCAAACTTCACGTGGTTGCTGGTCTTGCCGGATGTTGGTCAAAGAGGCACTGTTGACTGCGGTAGCGGCATAAACAAGTTTGACAAACCCACAGAATGATAAAAAGGGGCGACCCACATACCCGTATTAACGCCACTGTTTAGTTGACGATAGACAGCAATACAATCGACTTATCCTGGACAAAATCTATCCAGAGGCTATGGCGGGGAATCTAGACATTGCTCTTAAGTCAAGTCGACTTGACAGTTGCAAGCCTAACGCTGTCAACCTCACCAAGCAAAGTGATATTAAAAATTATAATCGATTTCAAGAAAACCAACGGACGATCTCAGGGTTTGTGTGTAGTGTCACCAATTCAAAGTACCCTGAGCTCTAGGCTCCAGGTTTGCGGCAGAAGAGGATCAGGGAAAAGAAAAGCGGATGGCGATCAGTGATTCACTATTCAAACGTTGAACTCTGGCAAGGGGATATTCATTGCCAATAGTACTCGGTCGACAGTTGCGAGACTGTGGTGTTACGTGCCTCTAGGTTGATAAAGGTTAGCTCTCAACCACACTTCAGAAGCTTTTGGGTTTTTCTAAAGTAGCCAATTGCTACTCTGTTTACAGGTTTTCAAGAAATAAAAAGTGTCTGCCATCGAATCCAATTGCAGGAATGGCACATGGTTACCCTGATTATCCCACTATATAGCTCATGTAGTACGGACAGGAAGACGATGGTTTGAAACGGCCACTAGAATCTATGAACGTCAGGCCGGACCGAGAGTCACATGCGAAACAAGTCGAAAGGAGTGTTGGAGACCCCGCTGGTGGATACTGGTACCAAGCATATACAGCCAGGAAGCACCAATATACCTAATAGATTCTTCCGTGGAGCTCCTAATCCCAGAATTTTTACCAACACATCTTAGTCAGTACATAGAGTCGAATATTTAACAGCGAAAAGTTAGAAATGTGTGGATATTGGTACACTGGCAATCCCCAGGGATAAATATCCGCGATTTCTCAGGATTTCTGGCCATACACACAGTAGTGTAATTGCATTTTTGTTGACTTCTAATTCTTGCACAGGCATCTCGATTTCCTAGATGTTATTTAGATAATGCTCATGGCAACGGAATATGCCGGCTGTCTCGGGTATATGGCGTATCAAATGCTGCATCATTGGCCAGGCGCATCCAGTGATCACAATGCGAAGTTCCCGATGTGAGTTGGCTCAACTAGCCCTGACTTGATTCCAATTCTCTCTATCACTCCAGGGTCATACTTTAGAAAGGTTTGAGGTGATTAGCAACTCCATCAGAAGACCAATAGAGAAAAGTATATCGTATAATCCAGAACGACATCTTTTGTACATCAGAGAGCATATTTCTCATAGATAGAAACGGAGGGGGATAAATTATCCACTTGGTAAAACATAGATAGCTCCTCACTGCATCGAGTGCTGGGCGAAGCCATGGCATGGAGAACAAGCAATGCTTCAATCAAGAACCTCCCAACGACGAGTAACATGCCAAAAAGCCTGCTGCCCCTGTTGTCCTACAACCAGCGTGGCACGGGAGTCAGTGTGAAAACGAAAACGTAAAAACACCCAGTCAGTATTATAGAGGGATATAATATTTGCTGCCGGATTTACCATTCTTCTCTAAAGCGAGGTGTAGAAGCAAGGGTAAGGTGTAACTATGATAAGAAGGGAGTTCTAATGTATTTGAAGGATATCATCCACAATATTAGGCAGGCTTATCGTATATAAATAGTATCAAAATCCGGCTTTAGCAGTACGGCCCCAGGATTTGCAAAGCATTTGTTTATTTGTTTTCTTTCGTTTCACAGGCTGCTGCGATGTGTGGGCGCGATGACTATCCGGCATTACGGGTTTCCTGCAAGGAGAGTGGAATTTCCAGGTAAAACGGCAACAGGGGAAGTCTCTGATGAAGTATCTGAAAGGACTTTAATCCGGGTGTTCTGAAGAAGTGAAGTAGACCGTGTCGGTGATCTCGGACACAACCAGGCAAAGGTCGTTGAGATGCAAGTCATGTGCGGGCCAACTCTCAGCCTCAATACTAAACGATGAGAAACGTTACGATATACAGCATCTTACCGTAATATCATTACTTACACAGCAAATTGGAGAATATTTCCCGTACACGAATATAATTTTCGAAAGTAGTATTATACTAGTAACAACGCCATGTTATTATAAGCTTAGCGTTGCACATCATGCGCACGGACCATGTACTTAACTTGGACGGTTCCTTTCAAGCCTCAACTTTTTTCTCCGGCCAATATTTTCTTTTTCTTGCAACTCTCGGTCAACGATGTCTTTGTTTCAGCAGTCATTCCTGACTGGTCAAGAATGACTCGCCGGTGAGTGGGGTCATAAGGGGAAACCAGCCCTTCTCAGGTGAGGGACCTGCCCCGAATGGAGCAGAAATCGCGGTAAGTTGGTACAGCCACCCTGACATGGTAGTTTGTTGCATATGGGACCACGGAGCCGTCAAGCCTCATGTCCAGAATTCCTGCAGGCCAATCATTCAGGGTTTCCCCTTTTCAGACTGTGCATGAATTTACACCACATATTCCAGTGGAATGGGCCCCTAAATTGGTATCGACCAGTCGACTCTGACATGGGGGCAATCAATCTGCATTCCACCCGCTCCACCCTTCCACTCCCTTGTGCTTGTTTTGTCGGTGTATCATGCAAAACATTGTTCACTGCAGCCCTTGTTCCCGCACCCAACATCCAATTCAATTATTCTCTGCCTCTCACAATTCCCTACCAATCAGAGGCAGAGCTATCAATTGCTTGTACCCCTTATGTCTTTCCCATTCTTCAATATTTTGGTGCCGGTATCTCCCTGTTGGCTCAGATCCTTTCCCGCCACAAGATACATACATAGTAACCCATAGGGTAAAGGTACAGTCCTCGTGGCTGCTCCGTTCCATCTCGATACTGGGTCGGGCTTTTTTCTTTTTTAAGGCATGGCAATCGATCATGTTTTATGAAATTGATAAATATGCCATGTGACGGGACAAGCGCATTCATGCGCACAACATACGCAGTGCTAACATTCGAAATACTGTCAGTACTTATTGGCGAAACCAAAGCGTAGAAAGCAAGTTTGAAGAATGCAATTCCAAGTCACTCCAAAACCAACACCGCCGGAGTGGGATTATTTTCGGGTCGTTTTTGAGACCTATGTCGCATTGTACTGCTTCAGGTTGCTAATGCCAGAGTTTTCATCTTTATTCTGAATTTTCTCTCTGCGTCAGAGAATATTGCTTACACTCTTTCCCCCTCCCCCTCCCAGCCGGGGAAAGATACTTGGACGCCAAGAAATCGCTTCCTGTCCCCTACCGCCCTTCAGTGGAGTTTTCTCTATGATTCTTTATCTGATTTGTTCTTGCGTGGTCTGTTCTCTCTTCGGGGCACAGCCGAAATTGGAGTTGAATGCAATCAGGAATGGAGCCACTGCGGTTAATTCATTAAACCATTTTTACTAAGATTGTCGCCAGACGGTCAGATTTCGTCGTTTGCTGTCTAAATGACAATGATCAATGACCTCCTCAGGTGGATTTACGAATCTACAGAAACCCCGTCGTCTTGATGTTATAAGTAGGGTTTGATACGTGTTAAAGCTTTGTGCTCGAAAGCGTGGAGCCCAAAAGCAGCGAGAATGAAGCAGTGCTTTATAAAGAGAAAGATACAATGAAGTCGTCCTATTATAGGGTTACTAGGACATGTGTT